TTTTTCTGTATTTTACAACATTTCGTAACGAAATTTTGCAATTTTACTCATTTTAATAAGTTCTTAACACTGTCAGGAATTTCTTTTTTTTTGCCTGGATCAAAAATTAGTTTAACATGCAAGTTGTCTATTAGCAACGACTTAATTGCCTCTGCTTCCGTGTGGTAATAACTGCATGTTAAATAATGGACCAATCCCATATTAATAAAAATTTTGATCTCAACAAGTCTAGACAAAATTCCATCACAACATGAAAGAGCATCACAAAATTAGTAATATTCCAAAGTTTCGTTGCGAAATGTTGTAAAATGCGGATAATATAGCCTTACGAAATTTGCAATTTTCAGTCATTTTGTATTGCGAGCGGGAAACGGTTACCACTTTTCCAAAATTTTGATCTCAACTAGCCTAAACAAAAATTTCATCACAGCTTGAAAAAGCATCACAAAATTAGTAATATTCCAAAGTTTCGTTGCGAAATGTTGTAAAATGCGAAATTTGCAATTAATTTTCAGTCATTTTGTATTACGCGCGGGAAATTTTCCGAAGTGGTAACCGTTTCCCGTTTGTAATACACAAAATGACTGAAAATTACAAACTTCGCAGGGCTATATTATCCGGCGCATTTTACAACATTGCATTTCGCAACGAAACTTTGGAATATTGCTAATTTTGTGATGCCCTTTCAAGCTGTGATAAAAATTTTGTCTAGACTTGTTGAGATCAAAGTTTTGGTTAATGTTGGTTTGGTCCAGTCCCTCCCGTTTTAACTGAACAAGATAGAAGCAGTAGCAGATTGAGAAAGATACATATAAGCATAACTTTGACATTTTGAGCGAATTAAGGCCCTTTGGCACAGACTGTTTGAGATTGTATTATATATATATATCCATTCTAATGAACGGACACAAAAACAATATAGTCTGTTCCGTTATTTTAGGGAAGAATATTTCATCCTCAGACTAATGCTAAAGCGGGACCAGAATTCTATTTCAATGCCGCAGACAATCTTGCAAAACTGCACAAATACAATCCAAGAGATTTGGGTTTGACTAAATATATCTCTCACAAAGCCAGCCATGCAAAACGACAGGTATGTATACTCGTTTAGTATTTCTACGAGGTTCAGTATTGCCATTGATACAACTTCCACTCACTTTTAGAGCTTGTGCATAGAGTTGCCCTAACTGTTGTATTGCTAATCAGTAATCTGCCAATCCCAGTAAGATCCTAGTAAGATCCTACAGGCTTCTGTCCAGTTCCTATTGGATCCTGATGGAATTATGGTGCAATAATTGTATATTGCCTTGTGGGATCCTCTCGTAATCCTATAGGAACCTGGGAGTTTCTGGTAGCAAGATCCTATAAAGTTCTGTAGGAACCTGGGAGTTTCTGGTAGCAAGATCCCCTGAAGTTCTTTTAGGATCCTGCCATGATCATGTGGAAACCTGGAATGTTTCTGCTAGCAAGATCCTCTGAAGTTCCTGTAGGATCCTGTCGTAATCTTATAGGAACATGGAATGTTTCTGACAGCAAGATCCTCTGAAGTTCCTTTAAGATCCTGTCATGATCCTGTGGAAACATGGAATGTTTCTGCTAGCAAGATACTCTGAAGTTCCTGTAGGATCCTGTCATAATCCTATAGGAACATGGAATGTTTTTGCTAGCAAGATCCTCTGAAGTTCCTGTAGGATCCTGTCATAATTCTATAGGAACCTGGAATGTTTCCAATAGCGAGATTCTCTGAAGTTCCTGTAGGATCCTGTCATGATATAGAATCCTGAAATAATAATACTGGGATACTGGCAAGATCTTAACCTGGAAACTTTAACCAGCGAGTTTTTAGTGTGTAGGATCCTAATTCCTGTCATATGAAAAGCAACCAGCTGATGTCAATCGTATACTAGCTAGGTGTATGGGAAGTATCATAAACTTATAGGTTGAAGTTGAACATGTACTTTTAATGCTTAGGTTCTCACTTGGTCAAAACAATACAAAGACAGCACAGACAATTTTCTTCCTGAAGCAGAAATTTTGATCAAAACTTTATGGGATATGTTGCCCTCTGACTGCAAACAAGACTGTAAGAACAAAGTGGTGGATTTATACTATTATTCAAAGATCGCAGACACTCAGTTCAGAGTTAGATCGATTACATAATTCTTAATTGTTTCAGGTATTGTGCATGGCGACTACAGACTGGATAATATGATATTTCATCCTGTGTTGGTAAGTTTGACTACATGTTTCTAATTACTGTAATAGGGATTCTACACGCGTAAAAATTGAGAAAATCAACAACTTGTTTCAGGTTGATATTAACAGGCGTGAACAAGGTGGTGCGGCCCACTATGAACAGTGTTGTCAACATGTTGTTACAGCATTGTTCAACTGTAACAACTTGGAACAACATGGTTGACAACTTGTTCATAGTTGGCCGCACAACATTGTTCACACCTGTCAATATCAACTTGGAACAACCTGTGCGTTTTTAGCCGTGTAAGATTGACGTTTACCGCAGGCCACAAACGGCAAACTTCAAATCGCATTTGAAAGTAAGGCCTACAGTTTTGACAGCTAAAAGTAGCTAATTCATTCTTCAATTTTAGTACACTAGTTGCCCTAACTTCGAACAGCTAACAGTTGACGATTTGAAGTTTGCGGTTTGCCGTAAACGTCAATCTAAAAGTCCCTAATATGGAAATCTTCGGTCTTGTGTATCTGGTATAAAAATCAAAATTATTCGCTTTTGACTCAAAAACCTGTTATATTCGATACAAAGTACAATCATTATGGTATGATGTAGAGAAATTGTACTTATTCTTTAGTCTACTAAGTTTAAAATTTCTGTTACAAAAACTTGTTCGCTAACCGTTTGTCTTTTGTCTTAGCCTGTCGTGATTGCCGTTCTTGACTGGGAATTAGCAAGTATTGGTGATCCAATGATGGACCTAGCTTATACTTGTATGATATATCACTACCCTCAAGAAATCAAAGTGATCTTTCCAAATCATAACAACGGTATGTATATAGTCTATATAGATATAATTTTTTCCGATGTCATCCACTCAGATGAAGTTATATGTTTGTGATGTTGTCTCCGAGTATGTCCACACCGGGCAAACTGAAAACTTTGCTTGACCGCGGTGGGAATCGAACCCGTGACCTTTGGTTTGCTAGTCCAATGCTTTAGCAAATGAGCTACGAGGTCAATTAAGTCGGTTTTAGTGGGTGATATTTCGGAACTCAGTCAAGACTGTCAAGTTTCTTCGATATCAGTGTGTTTTTACGATCTTGATTTTTTGTTTCTGGTGTTTATATGCACTCAGGTGAAGATATACGTTTGTGATATTAGAGCGTTATTTCTTGCGATTGAGTTGGACTCGTGCAGTTTACTAGATTTCAAAGTGTGATACATGTTCTTGATTTCGGCCGCTACCTGATGTTGGACAGAATTCGTGTGAGCAGGGCCGTGCCACCTGTGTGTGTGTGGTGTGTGTGTGTGGTGTGTGTGTGTGTGTGTGTGTGTGTGTGTGTGTGTGTGTGCGTGTGTGTTGTGTGTGTGTGGTGGGGGTGTATCAAAGAAAAGTAAACAAGGGGGCCCTGGAAAGCGGAACGTGTTAAATATTAAGGAATTCTCTGGAAAATTGGTCTAAAAAGGTCTTCAAAACTAAATTTAAGCCTCCATTATGTAAACCTAGTGTTTGAAAAAATATTTGGGGCCTCCCCCCCTCCCCAGTATTTTCCGGAAAATTCTTTGGTTTCCTGAAAAGTTTTTTTGAAGGGGCCCCCAATGGGAGGGGGCCCAAATGTTTTATTTCACCCCCAACCAAAAACCACTTGGCACGGCTCCTGCGTGTGATTACTAAGTTAGATATAGTTACGACTTACGAGTAGACATAGTTAGACATAGTTTGAATGTAGGATACCCTGAGATGATCTGATCATGCATGGCTATTGAATGAAGGAGACTCACAAATGTTGTACACTTAATCTGCCATATATCTAGAGTTAAAATATCACATTAAAAATGAAGTGTCACATTTTCATAAATATTGTATTGTTAACAATGTTATTCATGGTGCTAATTTTATCTCACGCAATTCGGATGATTTTATCTGATGTAAATGACAAATTCTGTAGGATTTTGTGCATGAACATGTCAGTCAATTTTGTTGGCCAATCAAATTCTACGTTCAGAAATTTTCGGTGTTTAGGAAAACCTCTTATGAGAAAACTTAAATTAACCTAAATTAACGAAAGAACACAGACTACGTTACATTTAGTCAAATCTGCATTTAGACTATGGGTCGACATAAAAATTTCTGCTATAGAAGCGAATATCGGCAATTTCAAGTGCCTCATTTAAGATTTTAAGATATTCATAAGCTTCATGTTCCTTCAGAAGCTTTTTGTGTAGAAAGTAAAATGGCCATCGAATATGGATATTTTTAATTTGGAAGGCATCGTCCCAGCCTAATCTTTTCAAAATAAACTGGTTGAGTTGACGATTTCTTCTTCGTCGTCCGGTAAACCACCATTGAAGTTCCTTCTGTATATTTGGACAATTGTTTGTGTGGACGTGATGCTCTTTCATTTCACGCATGTATATTTCACGCGTGCATAGTGACCAGTAGTAATCACGACGAACCGGTATTTTAGCACATTCGGACGTATCTGGCACCTCGGAATTTTCTAAGGATACTGCTTCTTCAAACTTCGGTAAGTTGTCATGATAACCAGGGCAATTGCTTATACGTACATCCTTACTTTCGTACAGTAGCTCTTCTTCTGTGGTCTCACGTGGTGGATGATACAAGTAATTGGATGCCATAATATAGTCGATTTCACGATCCGGATATTGAGCAGCCGATACACTGCCATAAGCAAATTCGTTATCGATATTGTTTTGATCTGTTTTTTGTGTATTTCGTATTTCATCTTTTGAACCGTACCAGACACCAGCCGCTTTAAACATTACTTTATCACGTTGGTGAATATCAGCAATTTTCTCAGAAAATTTATCAATTACTCCTCCGTTTCTGACACTGTCATAAAATTGAGCCAGATACACCGGATCTAACCGGTGTTTATTCAAGCAATTTATTGGCAAACTCGGAAATATCTCTGATGCTTTTTTGTGAACATATCTCAACACAGTTATCCCTTTTACTGCTGCCATATGAAGTGGAGAGAGTGCTTCTAAGATCGGGCCACATGGGAAGTGGGATCTGTATTCTGGCGTTGTGCTAAAAAACGTTTGCAATAATTCTTCGAACACCTGATTTCGATATTTCGATGTTGTGACAAGAACTTGCAAATTGAGTCCATACCAGTATCGGTATCTTAACGGTACAGTTACTGCAGTAAGTTCTCCATAGCTAGTATCTCCTAAGTACAATATAGAAATATCAAGAGCAGTTAGACCACTTCGTGTTTTCAGTTGTGTGTTAACTCCAATACTTTTAAACCATTTTATAGCGGCAAGATTTCCGCCTTGGGCAGCTCTGTGTATTGGTAAAAATCCTTCGGCATCATAGCATTCGTCCAATATGCGAACACCTCTAGGATCACGGTCAATTAATCTTTGTAAGGCTAAAAGTTTTGTATTTAAAGAAGGTTGAAACAGAAAGGAAATTCGGTGCAGTTCCGATTTGGAAAAGGACACTTCACATTTTAGAGAAATATCAACTTCAAACATATTCAACACTTCGCTGACTTCCCGACCGCCTGTATCTAAGTGAAGTAACATCACGGAACTAGATTCACTAAATAGACAATTTAAATAAAATCCAATTTTCAACAAGGCATACAAGCTCAAAGGCATTCGTTTTACTATGACCTGTTCCAACATGTACTTACTTTCACTATCACATTCTGAAAAACTTGATCTTTGTAACAGAATCAGGTACCTCACAGTTTCATCGTAGCACGTCGTGTTGCAGGAACGAAATTGACGATCGTTTGTAGTGTAGCAGCGATACGAAGCACTTGGATGTAGATCATTAACTGGTGAGTTCTTTAGCGCAATCATTAATGGAGTGTCACCATGTTGATTCTTTATAAGGTCGTCCGCGCCAAGATCGACCAGGTACTTTACAGCATCTTCAAATCCATATGAAGCAGCGTAATGTAAAAGCGTCATCCCATCTTCTATTTTGGCAAACAAATATTTCCGATAAGTTCTAATTAATAATTGAATAATATTCAAGCGCCTTTCCGATTCTATCTTTGTTTCTTCTACCTGAGAAAGATTGTTTTCTTGAAATGCTTTCAAACAATGAGATACTGAAAACTTCTTAAACATAGTTTGCACATTGTCAAATGGCGACCATTTAGTACTTTGCAGTAAAAGATCCCATACGTTCTTGTCTTTGTCATCAAAGGGATTAATCGTAATCATATCAAATCGATCAATTAAAAACAGTTTCGCTACATTGACGGAACAGTATGCTACTGCAGATTGGACAGCATAGGATCTGTTTATATATATTCCTATTTTTTTTATGGAAGTATCAAGATTGTGAACAAAATCTTTCTGGTCGTACATGATAGCAACACGTAGAATACTATTGCTATCCTCATTTTTTAACTCTGCTATTTTGTAAATCGGTCCATTTAATAATCGCTCTGCCACCTCCCGCAATCCATATTTAGCGCTTATATGAATAGCTTTGTAACCGTCTTCACAACCTTCGTTTCCGCAGTAAACTGTGTACAAAAAATCTTGCTTGAACGTAGAGTACATAGAGCACATATCCCAATACTTCCATCTTATCCTTCCGCACTCTGTAGTCACATTGGCTCCATGCCTCAACAGCAGGTCTACCATTTTAGTATCATTCCTTTCCACAGCATCCATCAAAGCTGTCTTACCGGAATGATGCTTACATTCTAGAGATTGCTTTCCGTACGCTAACAAAACCTCTACAATATCATCCAGTCCTCTTGATACTGCAGCATGAAGAGCAGTTTCACAAAAAATTATGTGAGCCTCCTGTACCGTAGTTCTTGTATTCATTTGGCATGGTATACAAGTATCACGCAGTCCGACTGTCTGCAATAGAAAGTTCACAACAGCCAAATGATTTCTTGCCGCTGCGTGATGAAGTGTGGTTAGATCAAACGTTCCGCCATGATCATAAAACAATTCAACCACTTCTAAATGCCCATTTCCTGCTGCTAAATGAAGTGGTGTTGGATAATTCGTGCTGGAGTTCGGAAAGCTTATATTTCTTTTTATCAAAAGTTCAACGACATCCGCGTGCCCTTTAGAAGCTGCTGCGTGCATCAAGCTAAACTCCTCGATACCTGCGTTTCGAACAAAAACGGAGACTGTGTCTAGCTCTGTGTGTCCTTTCATGAAAGAACTAATATCTGCTCCATGGTTAATACAACTTTGCAAACTTCTCACAAAACCTTCAGATGCTGCATAAAACGCTGGCGTTTTGTTACTGGAATCCAGTACGTCGACCGTTTCAAATTTATCTGACAAGAAATCAAGTACAGGTAGATATATGGTTGGCTGTGTCACGAGATAATGCAGTATGGATTGATTAGTGTGCGGCTCGCGCATCTCTGCAATATTAAAAAGATTCATAGCTGTTTCCTGCATTTCTGAAGCCTGTCCTGACAGAATGTGCATAAAAAGTTCAGTTAGGTCCTCAAACGTGACATTCACGTGTCTGTCACGCATGCGACGCAATAAAAACTTAGCGATACTCTGATGACCTCTAGTTTTGTTAATTAAGAGAAGAGGAGTCTGATTTATCAACCAATCTGCAAAAGATTGATGAAATAATCTAATTGTCCCACCACGCCCAAATCGCAAGAAACAAGACACATGATCAGTAAGTTTAGGAATATCCTCCGCTTCGTACTCGCTTTTAAGAATTTCCTCAACATCTTGGGATTGAAGAGGTGAATACACCGCTAACAACACTTCAAAAAGAGACCTAAATGGCTCAAATCCATCCTTACCAAATTGCCTGTTAAAAAAGCTGCTATACAAAGCAAACAGATTTGTTGGTAAGCTGTGAAACTCAACTTTCCTGCCTGTATCGTTCAGGTATTGCAATGTCATCCTTACAAACAAAAAATTTCCTTCTGCTCGCGTAATCACTTCGTTCAGGAAGATTTTTATACCGTCTGTTCTTGATCCAATATTAACTGCCATCAACAATCTGTCTAAAAATTCTGTATTTTGAGATATAAAACGCGATACATAGTAACGAATGTCATTAACATTCCGTTCGTCCATGGCGTACAATGCCATCCTAGTCATCAGCATTTGAGGAAGTCTAGACGTAACCGAGGTCAAGTTTCGAGAGGTCATTATGACTTTTAACCACTTTGGGAAATGTAGTATTTTATCTTGCAAAATTTCCATAATTTCGGACGTTTTCATATCGCTTTCGAAACACTCGTCTAAAGCATCTATCACAATAAATCGGAGGCCATCGGGTTGTTTTAACTTTCGTAAAGGTCCTACAATGGTGGTAAAGAAACAACCGGTAGGATCTTTGTGACAACGTGTATCTAGTTCTGCTCGTATCTGTTCATTGTTCATCACAATTTTGGAATATTCTGGAATTCGGGCTGCAATTTGATCAACTAGATTACGCACGAATCTTGCTCCGTCGCGTTTTCCCTTCTCTGAATATTCACACAGATGATAACCAATGGTATTATCGTGTATTAACAAGCTGGAATATCGTGAACATATCAATTGCGACATTACTGCTGATTTGCCAGATCCTGGCACTCCAGTAATCAGGACACCGGTAGTTACTTGGTTTTCTTCGAAGATGCTTTCTAATTCCAAGAAAAACCATTTTCGGCCAACGAATCCCTCTCTCTTGTATGCCAGGTAAGAAGAGAAGTCAAATTCTTGTAATTGGAACTGGCTGATAGGCGATTTGATCACAGCAGTGGGACAACCTAGAATGTTAAAAAGATTTTTTTTATGATTTTTAGATAATATTCTCTTTGGCAATTAGGGTACATGCTTCTGTGAGCCCCTGATCTTTTATCCATCTAACATAGTCTGGTTATTTTAACTGGTCAAACATAACCAGATTCCTCGTTACATTAACCAGACTATGGTACGCAACCTCGTACCCAGGTTGGTTCTCAATCTTCCCTCCTACCTCGCTTGAATTGAGACCCTGGTATCGGCTGGTCGCGTGACTCGTCATATTTTGGCAGATTTGCTCAATTGTTTTAGGGAAAGTATAGTATAAAGTAGATATTGTAGTAAAAAATATTAAAATAACATATTAACATTACAAAACAAAACATCTCAGTTACTATCCTTTCCCTAAAAACAATTGAGTTAATCCGCCAAGATATGACGGGTCACGTGACCAGCCGATACCAGGGTCGCAATTCAAGCGAGGTAGGAGCGAAGATTGAGAACCTGGGTACGAGGTTGTATGGTACGCAGGAAGTGAAATAAAATAACCAGAAAATGGAACCAGGAATATTAGGTTAACCCAAATAGGGTTATTTCTAGGTTAACCAAAACAATTTTAACTAAAGGGTGTTTTTAGAGTGTGAAGAATATGGACCAATTACGATTTTGTGCCTTGAAACAAGTGATTAATTATAATTTCCTTACTCGATCCTTATGAAATGCACAATGGTTCCCTAATGCTATATGACTGTGACAATTCTATGAGTCAAGGGAGATGTTTATTAATAATTCGGGGTAAGCTTACAAAAATCAATCCTACCATAGTCTGATATCACACTTTTGTCACCAACTTGAGAAAACATGAAAGCTGCCATCAAAGACCACAGCATCCCAGGAAAGTTGCGCAAAAGGGGAGACACTGTGAGTAATAATATTGTAAGGAAAACACTCAAAACTGAACTCAATTTATCAATAACATGTACTAATTTGTAGTCGGGCTTTTTCAGAGCCCTAATAATTTCGTCTTTGGTTTCGTCTATCTTTTCTTTTAGTCCGTGATCCTGCTGGTATTCCCGAATGCGTCGACATTCCTGAATAATCTTTAACTCGTCATTCTTTAAGATTGAGAGATCTGCCGTTTCTATTTCTTTAATAGCTTTGTTGCAATCTTGGACCTCTTTGATGCCAACGAGTTCAGGGTCCGTCATTAAGCAGTCAATATCTGCCAATGCATCTTTTTTCTCGTTCTTGCTTAGCATGTGATCTGGTGCATGAGCCCACTTATTCCGCCAATCTCTGACAGCTTCTAATGCAGCTGGTTGAATTTTGAAATGATTACAGAATATTAACAAATTGAGAAGGGGGCTACTGTCTGTGGTGCTAGGGTCCTTAGTTGTGGCCAAATTTTTTCCTAAATTAGACATGAACAACTTTGCAATCTCCCAATATCCAAGAACTGGATCATGCCATTGGCTACTAATGCTTTGATGCCAAGGAATGTCACCTTTTCGTGGGAAGACATGAAAATTCTTTAACTGTTGAGCCCAAATGCAACTTGTTGTCGGTGTTCCATGAGGATTTGGTTTCTTTCCAGGGGTAGACGTGCAGTGGCATTTGACTCCAGGTCCGCCGACATTTGTTGTTATCAAAGCATGAAGTTCCTTCATTTTATTCTCAGCATATTTCCGAAGGCCATCACTGAGAAGAATGAGAGCTTCACCAACAGCCAGCCAGTGAAGATGATCAGGATTATTTCTCATTCGCAACAAATCTTGAACACCAGGATTACTCATTTTGTTCAACCAAGTTGTACACGTTATAAAAATATTTTAGTATAAGTACAGTATATGATATATTTAACAAATATAAAACATTTTCCGTGTTGATATGCAGTTATATCAACACAAGTGGAAATTGGGAAAACGAGAAATTGTGTGGAAACACGACATCAATATGGAAAAAATGTTTTATATTTGTTTTATAATATAGCACAAAGAAATATAAAGAAAGAAATTTTCCGTGTTGACATTGAGTTATATCAACACGGCTCTTAGCCAATCAGCGTTCAGAATTTACAAATGCTATATTATAAAAGTTATTATAATATATAATTGAAGAACGTTTTTATCAACGCGGGCATGGATTGGGGGTAGTGGTTAAAAATTGTGTTTGTGTGAGTTTGTGGTAATCTTCAACATATATGACAAAACATAAGATTTTTAAAGTTTTTTGTTTCCTTACAGCTTACGGCTTGCTGCTTACATGAGCGCTATAATGCAAAATGCCGTCAAATTAGTTGTACTATCTGTGGGTTAGGTGAAAGGGCCCACACTAGTAATTGGCATATGCTGTTGTGGCGACTCTGCCCTAGTTGGCAAAGCTAAATAAATAAACAAAGCCCATGCATTGCCATGCTTTTGGCTTAAGAGTTAAAACCATGCTTTTAGCGCATGCAGTGCAAGCTGTTTTATTTGAAGGAGTTTTTAATTACTGATTACACTAAGGTTTTTTGTAATGCTATACTGGGAAAATAGTCACATTTTTAGGGGTATACTTTACAAGGCTATGCTTTAAGCTTGACCGGCCAGAAATTTGGTATGTCCGAGCTAAAATTGAGTTGGCCGGTCACCTTGACCGGCGATCCTCCAGCCGTTATTTCGCGGCCCCCCTGGATCACTACGGCAAAAAAGCGCGGGAATATTTTTGCTACTTTTCAGCTATACTTTCCTCGATAAAGCTTATGCTTTAAACATTATCGTGCTTAAATAAAGTCATTATTATTATTATTATTATTCGATAATTTTTACAAACGTTTTCGTTGTTTTAATCAATACAATGTACTTTTGACTGACAACCGACTCAGTTATTTTAATACATTATGTGTAAAAAGCCTGGTTTATTAGACAGTTGAAACAACTCTAAAGACTAATAGCTATTATTAAGTCAAAAAGAAGTTTTTTTGCCTTGTTTGCCTTTACCGTAGAAAAAACACACTTGCAAAACGGGAAAACTCGTGAACTGGAACTTGGCTTTGAACATTAAAATGTACTTCGGATTGCAAAAATCGTTAAAACTAGTACAAAACAAACGAGCAATTCAAAACAAGAAAAAATGTAAACAAAGACCAAAACACAACCATGACTAGAACTCAGTACAAATAAATTAAAAAAAATACAATGATAAATACCCATAAATGACTGCCCCGTTTTCTACCAATAAAGACAAAGCCTTAAATCATCAAGATATTAATGAAATTTCGATTATTTTATGCTTCTGAAGCCCTCTCCAGTGGTGCAACGCTCATTAGATAGGGTTAGTTCAAAAACTAAGGACCCCCTCTTCCTCCATTACGCCACTGCCCCTCTCGCAATGCTGCATGTAGCAAGAAGCAAGCTACTCAGCTGATTATCAACCGGCCAATCAGAAAGTTCTTGCTTGCGTTAGGAGAAAATGTAATTTAATCAGAAAGAAATTTATCTTTTTGGATGAAACTCTATATTGTAAAATAATTTCTTCATGATTTGGCATGCTCAATCAAGTAATATAATGAGAGTTTACGATCCACGACGCGGCTAGATGAAGCTAGAGAAGACGCGTTATAGAAAGGTTTGGTAACTAGCGCGGCCAACGCGTCTTGTGTTATTCCAACGTGTAGTCAACGATTCTACGACGCAATTTTGTCAATGGACCATTTGCATTATAGACTAAATTTTGATCTAGACAAAAATTTCATCACAGCTTGAAAGAGCATCACAAAATTAGTAATATTCCAAAGTTTCGTTGCAAAAGTTGTAAGATGCGGATAATATAGCCTTGTAAAATTTGCAATTTTCAGTCATTTTGTATTATACAAACGCGAAATTGATGCCCCAACACCCGATTGGGCTGTCAATTTCCCGTGCGTAATACAAAATGACTGAAAAACGGCAAACTTCGCATTTTGTCTAGATCAAAATTTAGTCTATAATGCAAATGGTCCATTGCAAAGCCTGATTGTTGTATCTTGATAATTTATTATACAGTAGAAGCATGAAAATATAAATAGTTGTCGAATAAAGTTCAATATTTTGAACAGTACCTTTAATTGTGGGGTTCATTTCTGCCAAGTATGAAGATGAAAAATCGATAACGCAAACTCGGATCGGAGAATACAAAATCAATTATATAAGGTCCCGTGTACTGCATTATGCTCAATATTTATTTTGGGCACCCGTACCAATTTTAATATAATAGGCAGAACAAAAGCCAATTGTGAATAGGCCTAAAACCTCGAATAAAACCTATATCTTTGTGTTTTAATCGTTTTTCCGAAATAATATACCATCAAGGTCCCTGACTGAAAGTTTAGAAATTGCGCAACCGAGATTTCGAAAATTTACATGCAAAAAACATAATAATTCAACAGAACATCACAACTGTGCTACCGATATATCAGCTGTTGGCGTTGCGTAATACAAAATTTCCACGCTGGTCCGACGAGGTCGAATACAATGTCGAATGCAGTGGAATGTTTATACCTTAAATTTCTTCGAAACTTTATTGATCTATAATACTAAAAGCAATCCGAAATACTAGTAAGTGTTGTCGGTATAGAGCGACATGAATAATGGAAACTTGATACTTTACCTCACATTTGCCAGACGAAACAGCACCTCGCATACAAAACAACTTTGCTTTCGCTTTCGAAGCGTATTGAAGGAAGCTACCTTACACAACTTGAAGTAAGCCCGGCATTTGTCAAAAAAGGCGAAGACGAAGCGCAAACCCGATTTTGCCTGGTATGACAAACTGCATCAGTTCTGAGAACGCAACCGGATATTATCACGCAATTAAAGAAAATATACGGAAGTGAAAAATGAAGCAAGTTATTCTTGGTTCAGCGGTTCTGTACCGAAACCATCGATGATAAGTACTTCTTCTTGCACGGATATTTTGTTTCCGTAAATGTATGTTAGGGTTAGGGATAGGTTCAGATTCCAGCCGTTGGGTTCTCGGCACTCCCCCCTCAGTGCCGAGAACCCAGCGGCTGGAATCTGAGCCTAGGTTAGGGATATATTTAAGTTTATGATCAGGCTCATACATGTATCCAAGATATCCGTTGAAAATTAGGCATACATGCCGAAACCTTACAGGCTAAAAAACGAGCCGATAGAACGCATTTTATAGAAAATACAAAAACGGGTGGGATTCAATTCCCCCAACTCAAGTATCAATTAAAAAAATAAATACTCACCCCAGGCCAAAATTTTACAAAAAGATAATACCATTCAGTTGTCACACATGTCTCATAGTACAACTTCTGTGACATGAGTTTGGTAACTGCTTGGAGACATTATTTGCCTTTGGACACATATTGGTTGAAGATAGTGACTCGGATTGATTTACATATTGTATTGGCATATGACTGTTGACATTGCTTTTTAGTCTTCAATATTTGAATGAGTCATACTGTGGAAATGACAATATATTTTTATTACCCAACCCTTGGGTGGTTTTGTTTACCATTTTCCCAACCTTTTACTCACTTAAAATTTTGTTTCACCATCCTGAGATTTATAATTCTGACGATCCGGTGGACTTGTTACTTTGTGGCTTCAGTGGTTTAAATGTTAAAGGGCAAGATTTTTTTGTTAATTATTTCGCTGGAGATTTAAACAAGACATAACATATAATTCTCTCTTGTCTTAAAAACAGATGGATGCCCCACAGAAAAAGAGTACATTGCTCGATATTGCCAGCATTCTCATCGTCCAACCAATATCCCACATTGGGAATTTTATTTGGCGCTAAACCTCTTTAGAATGGCAGCAATTGCTCAGGTACAAATTCTTATGTTTTTTTGTAGAAAACACCACGCGTTTGTTTTTACAAGGCAACATGTTTAGTTGTTACTCTCTAAGAACACAATGGATAACAATTTACTGGTTAATCTAAAATTAACATTGTTGAGGTATCGATCTTCATGTTCCTGGTTAGTGAATTTCGATGGGATTGTGTCATTGTGTTAAAAAACTGCAAAATGCGATCAGATTTGAAATGTTTGAAACCACCTGACATTCTGTCCGACCTAAGTGAAACTGCAGGTTTATTGTTTGTCCAAGCCGAGTGTATTGGTGTCCGACCGAATTGTAGTTTGTCCGACGTAAATCAAAATGTACCCTAGTTCAGGACTAAATGCTCGTATGTTAAATGGAGAATCAGAGTAATGTATAAAAAGTGAACCAGAAATGTTGTTTTAATTTAATCGAGCGCAGGGTGGCGAGCGAAATGCATGGTGATGTGGAAAACGGGCTTACAAGTTGTCGAAGTCTTACTGGAGTTACTGCTGCTATCAACAAGCAAGTTAATTTTGGCTTGGAAATAAGTATGAATGACACAAATTATTTAATATCTTCACAACATTTACTGTTCCGAATTAATGCATTGCGCTGATATTAATTTGTGTCATTCAGACTTATTTCCGAGCCAAACTGAACTGAAGATCATCCTGCTATGTGCGGCCTGTTTATTTTGGCATGGGGGATTTAAGAAATTAGATTTCGCAATCGTAGGAAATGACACAGCATTTGACCTTTTGTTACCTAAGCTTTGCACAATACCTAAAAACAAACATATTCATCTTTTAGGGTGTTTATGCCCGTAGTTTACAAGGCAATGCTTCAGCGGAGAATGCCAGAATACATGGCACGGTTGTACAACCCCTACTTCGTCAAGCGTTGAGAATTATAAAAATGTAAGTATAGCTGTAATACCGTCGTAAATAATTATATAGAATTCTTCAAACGATTGGTGTCTTGTGCACATTTTGCTGAAATTAATTATATTAATAATATTTCCTTAGGGAGACCATTTCTTCTCAACCAGTTGTCAAGAACTCGGCTGGGCCTATCACTGACCTTTTTCCAGTTTCTGAGAAAGCCAAAGAACTGCTGGCCAAGACAAAAGTATTCTTGAAAGAGCATGTGCTTCCTGGCGAGAAGGTTTATAGAAAAATCTCATGCTTTATAATTGGATATAGGTCGTGTTATAACAATCATTGATCGTCTGATATATTTGTGGTTTAGGAATACTTTGAATTTATGTCCAAAGACAAAGATGCTTGGCAAATTCCACCGATTCTTGAATCATTAAAGGTAGGGAAATGATGTAAATGATGTTTACAAATTACGGCAAGGTTCTTCTCTTCTCGAGTTTCATCGTACCTGAAAAATAGAAGCAGAACTTCGACGCTTCGAGCGAAGGCCTGTCGTCGAGAAAATTATAATAGAGACTGTACGATTTTAGGACGGCAACGCGACGACGACGGCCAAAACAAACTCCTTCGAATAAATAGTAGGCCTAGTAAAGATAATTCGTCGTACATTATCAATCGTATGAATTTAATACAGTTTTAGAAGTTGAAGACATGGGTTTTATGGTTGGGAAGAGTTCTCCTGAACCCAGTTTGAAGTTGCACTTGTTGCGGCTTGAAATGCAGCCGTTGTATCAAGACGTGAAAATCTGTGATTTGGGGTTGTAAACGGAGTGAGGACAATGTCTAAATTATTCATATATTGTAATTCTTTTCAACGATCTATTGTATTGGTAGCCGTTGCCGTCGCGTTGCCGTCCTAAAATCGTAAGGTCTCTAATACCGTGAAACGCAGGCGGGAATCTAGGCTTCATCTGCAAGGAGGGGTGCACGTTCTCCATGGGGTGGTACACGAGAAAGCCTTACTGTCCATTCTCCTCTGCAGTTCTGCAACGCTACTATCCCAACAATACCATTATATGAGATGGCCGAATCTGCATGTTTGCCGTTCTGTTACGTTTTACATTATCTTTCGTTTATAAAGTTTATATCGGCTGTTTATCGCGTATCCGTGACTGGACAGTTGCTGTAGTACAGTACAGTAAATTTCCTTGTTAAAGCACACTATATTTGAAAATACGGCTGTATAAAAATCTCGACATGTTTACATATTTAGCCATGATATTTGATTATCCAATGCATTCTGAGTACGTATTTTCACGTGAGCTCACAAATCAATTAAGTCATCTCAAGAAATCGACACCCACTAACAGCAGAAGTTTCGTTAATCTCTATTCGAAAAGCAGAAAATGTATAGGCAAGCAGATTTTTTAGGTTGGTGCTGGACTTCTCGGGGGGGGGGGGATACTAGACACCACTAGGTGGGGTATACACCCCCTGCACCTTTCTTGTTATCGCCACTACCCACAATGGCACAGGCAGTTGAAGATTACTCTCCTTCTACTAATTTTACTGACGAAGGGACTTCGCTTCACACCACGATAAAAACTGATATTCATCCTTATCCCTAGGGACACGATTCGTTGGTTATGCTAATTATCATTATGCTAATTATTATATGAACAGGGATGGAAGTGGGCGAGCCGTGCCCTCCGAAAGAATGATTAGAGTGGAAGAACTTAATATTCTTTGCTGTCTCAAGTGCAAACTTATTATATATTGAATACTCATGATTCCCCATTACATGATTTGAAACAGTTGTTGTGGTTGGTTACGTTTTTCAACCGTGGAAGATTTTGTCAAATCTTCCCCCAAAATACGTGCAGGAATCGAAATGCCATTGAAGAGACTCTAGATTTCACTGATTTTCTGGGGAACATGTCAAATCGATCGAGTTTGTATGGCTTGACCCTCCCCACCCAACCATAATTCTGCGACCTATGCAAATTAAGAGTCAATCATAATTTACAACCTTTAACATTAAAAAGCTAATTCAAGTGTAAAATGTTTTTACTAAAATCTTCTGTCAGTATTGCATGACACTGTAACCTAGCATATTATATCTTGATTTGACTTTTTCTGTGTTAGTGCATGTTGTGTACTCAGGTGAATATGATGTTTGTGATGTTACTCTGAGTGTATATCCACACCGGGCGAGCTTGAAAAATATGCCCGGCCACGGTGGGAATCGAACCTACGACCTTTGGAGTACTAGCCCGGCTCTGCCAACTGAGCTACCCGGTCAGGTCGGTTCGAGTAAGTGATATATTTCGGAACAGAATCTAGTTCCTTCGGTACCAATGTAATCTAGTAATATGACTTTTTCTGTGTTGGTGTTGTGTACTCAGGTGAATATGATGTTTGTGATGGTAAGTCAGAGTAACATCAGAGTAACATCACAAACATCATATTCACCTGAGTATACACAACATCAACACAGAAAAGTCATATTACTAGATTACATTGGTATCGAAGGAACTCAGTTCCGAAATATCACTTACTCAAACCGACCTGACCGCGTAGCTCAGTTGGCAGAGCATTGGGCTAGTATTCCAAAAGTCTTAGGTTCGATTGCCACCGTGGCCAGGCTTATTTTTCAAGCTCGCCCGGTGTGGATATACACTCAGGAGTAACATCACAAACATCATATCTTGATTTGTTCTCGTTTTGAGCAGAAAGTGGCAAAAGAACAAGGATTATGGAACTTATTCCTTCCTGCCGTTTCTGGTTTAAATCAAACCGAGTATGCACTGATAGCAGAAGAAACAGGACGCTTCTTTATCGCACCTGAATGTTTAAATTGTTCAGCACCAGGTAAGAAGCGAAAAGTTACTCATGATAGCTAGTTCATTTTGTCAGAGAGCTGTGTAACTCCAAAACTGTTCTTCGTTGAGGTCTAGTAAGGGTAATCTTTCATTGGTACACTCATGGTTGATATTTGACTTTCACAATGATCTAATAGTCTGATTTAGAAAACACGACGCGAACTGAAAAGACGCCGCCTTCGGAACAAACAAATTCTTCATGCAAAACAAAAAGTTTGAATAATTTGCGGTCCCAGCAGCATCTTCAACAACGTTATCGTTCTGAATACCACATTAAACTAAGATTTTCACGTCACTGCAGCAACGTGACGTTGGCGGAGTTACATAAAATATGTCTCATAGCAGACACCGGATATTTTTTTCGGAACTTAGCCGTTTGTAAAGTTATTTTAAAAAGCTTCAATTTATGACAGTAATCAGGTTCCCTAGCAACCTCGTTCCCAGGGTCTCTCCTTCTATCCTGGGTGCGAGGTTGGTTCGCTGGCTCTCAATCTTGAGCTGAAATCGAGACTGCGTTGTCGTGTTTGCCTCGTCGTCTTTTCTAAATGTGTCTAATGATTCCTTACGATTCTCCCATAATGCAGTATGTGTGAAAGTTGAAAATGTTCTTCAATCTTCCTGCTAAGAAGAGACCAACCAAACTGGGATAAAAATCGAAATTTTCATTATCTTTACATGAGACCGGTACAACTAAATCACAAAACTTTCAATTTGTTCCCCCTGTCCGCCATTTTCTTTTCTTGCAGTGCTTTTGTGAGCATGCATTGTTCCGAAGCCAAGAGCACAGCCAAGATCACTCTGAAATGTATCTGTGGTTACATCACCCCGCTACGAATTCATCCCGGTCTGAAGATAGTCGGTTCGGTCCAGCGAGTGGGATGACTTCAGAGCGGTCTGAGCAATTTTTTCATGTAAACAGCTATTATGAATAATACTCTGACTGAAATGAAATCGTCCTGGTCTCATCTAAGCGGGATCTAAGGCGAATGTTGGTAGTCCTGTTCGCAGGCTACAGGAAATAGGAACCCGGAGTCCACTATTTCCAGGTCTGGTTGTTCCAAGCTCGTGCATATCTAGTATACACAACAGCAACGTGGCACAGACCCTTTAACGAATTTCCGAATCATTTCAGATACTGGTAATATGGAGGTCCTCCATCTTTACGGCAGTGCCCAGCAAAAGAAAGATTGGTTGGAACCATTACTGAATGGTGATATTAGATCAGCGTTCTGTATGACTGAGCCAGCTGTTGCGTCATCAGATGCCACCAATATGGAATGTGAAATAAGAAGAGATGGAGAACATTACGTCATCAATGGACGCAAGTGGTGGTCAAGTGGTAGGTTGACAAAAGATCGTATTTGATGCTGAGGTTTTTTTGCATGAGCTCTATGCGTAGGGAAGTAGGACTTGTTCTCACCTCGTGTATAAGAAAAACATTTTTGCCGTCTCGCTTTCGCAAACACTTAATGGACCCATTCCCCAATGAACAAAATTTTGATCTAGACAAGTCTAGACAAACATTTCACGACAGCTTAAAAGAGCATCGCAACATCAGTAATATTCCGAAGTTTCGTTGCGAAATGTTGTAAAATGCGGATAATATAGCACTGCGAAGTTTGCCGTTTTTCAGTCATTTTCTATTACGCCCGGGAAATTGATACCGCTTTCTGAAAAAAGGTATCAATTTCCCGTGCGTAATATACAAAATGACTGAAAAACGGCAAACTTCGAAGTGCTATATTATCCGCATTTTACAACATTTCGCAACGAAACTTCGGAATATTACTAACTTTGTGATGCTCTTTCACGCCGTAATAAAATTTTTGTCTAGATCAAAATTTTGTTCATTAGGTAATAGGTCCATTCAATGGCCTCCGTGCAACTAATCTATTTTCGTATGGAGTCTAAAGACATCTTTGCCTGGCTAAATTTCGACTGATACTAACCAACAAACAATTGAAGATTGTTCTAGAGACGAGATTTTGGGTACATAGTGAGATCTCGCCAAGGAAATGGAAGGCTGGCCTTCGTAAATAACGGAGTTAAGGAAAAACGCGAGATCTCGCACAGGAATGCCCCAAAACAGCCCATCGCGGCAAGAGTGCGTTTGGGTTTCGGTTGGATCGAGGTTAGGTTGCCCCATTGGGTTGCCCTTGCAGTTGCGCTGTAGCTAAGCGGGTTAAGTCGAGATCGATTGTGGTTTGGGTCAACAACTATCTGTTGGTTTCCTAGGCGCAGGTGATCCAAGATGTAAGTTACTCATTGTGATGGGTCGATCAGCAGATACTCAAGCCCCAAGGTAAGTTTGAATTAAGGATCTTGAGTAAAATTATATTTTTCCTTTAACCGCAGTATGGTTACATGTATCTGAGGGAATCGCTGTAATTTTGTCTCAACCATAAAAATTCAGTTTAGGAAATGTTAGAGAACAACGGTTACCAGTACTGTCTGTGCGCTCCTCTTCCAGTAAACCTGATACTGAAGGTCGAGGGTAGGGTATTGTTGCTTTGCAGATGACAGGTGACTTTCCTGCTTTAACCTGATGTACTTGAAAACTCTCTCCTGTGTGCTTCGAGGGTTTTTCTCCGTGTTTACTCCGGCTTTCATCCCTTTGAAAACTAATCCTTCCACCTTTAATAGCTCTGTGATCAGACATGGGCCGTATGGTGCTAGGCAGAGGCGTCCTAGTAAGCCTTCGACTCGGTCAGATTTGAGTCTTTCGCAATTTAGCTGAGAGCTTGGAGGAAAGATTATTAGCACCCCGGGATTGTTCTGAAATATCTGAAAAAGATCACAATACGGCAACCTGTTGTCAGTGTTGATGAGAATATCATAGTTTGAAAAACATGTTATTTCAATGTTTCTAGACACAGACGGCATTCAATGATCATTGTTCCAATGGAAACTAGAGGAGTGAAAAAAATACGATCTCTGACTGTATTTGGTTATAATGGTGAGTTGTATGCCCATGTCTGTCTGTCTGTCTGTCTGTCTGTCTGTCTGTCTGTCTGTCTGTCTGTCTGTCTGTCTGTCTGTCTGTCTGTCTGTCTGTCTGTCTGTCTGTCTGTCTGTCTGTCTGTCTGTCTGTCTGTCTGTCTGTCTGTCTGTCTGTCTGTGTATCTGCCCTGTCTTTCTCTGTCGTCCTTTAACATTTTAAATCTGTTCCGTTCATTCGTGGTTGTCACGACCAAATCATTGTCACCGATGTAAATCGGTGTGGATCTATCCTGTCTTCAGCGTGCTTTATGCAAATCAGCTTTGCTGATCAATATTCTTTTACATCCGCCACCTTGATATGGTCGTGACAGCGACGACTGAGTTGAAACTAAGCTCTAATTATATATTTCACAGATGCTCCTCACGGTCACTTGGAAATCGTTTTCGACAACGTTCGCGTTCCTGCGTCAAACATGATACTTGGTAAGTATACAATTAACAAAGTGTTGAAATTTTTGCCAGTCGCATGCAACCGTCTTGAGTTGTACTGTGTGAATCAAGCACACTGAACACATTACATTATTATTCAGCTTACTCCCCATTGGGGCTTTTCAGTGACCGATTACATCAATGTTACTTACTTAGTTATGTTACTTACTTAGCTTAGACTATTTATCTTTACAACAATGGACCTTTCCCCTTATAACTAAAATTTCGATCTAGACAAAAATTTCATCACAGCTTGAAAGAGCATCACAAAATTAGTAATATTCCAAAGTTTTGTTGCAAAATCTTGTAAAATGCGGATAATATAGCCTTGCGAAGTTTGCCGTTTTTCAGTCATTTTGTATTACAAACGGGAAATTGACATCCGATTCGGGTGTTGGGCTGCAATTTCCTGTTTGTAATGCAAAATGACTGAAAATTGCAAACTTCGCAAGGCTCTATTTTCCTCATTTTACAACATTTCGCAACGAAACTTTGGAATATTACTAATTTTGTGATGCTCTTTCAAGCTGTGATGAAATATTTGTCTAGACTTGCCTAGATCAAAATTTTGGTTATAAGGGGAAAGGTCTATTGAGATATTACTTTCCTAACTGTATTCACCCAAACCTACCTTGCCAACTTGTCCTGTGGGAGGAAACCGGAGCACCCGGAGAGAACCCACGACTTTCGGCAGAGCGTTGACTGACTCTTTTCACATGAGTCCGTAGCGAGAATCAAACCCACGATGTCTGAGGTGAAAGACGCTTGCTTTGGCGACCCCATATGACAACGTCGGCGAGTTGTGTGCTTGATCTACACACGTAAAAACGCACAAGTTGTTACAGGTCTGCAAACAAGTTGTTACAAATCTGTTCACAAGCTGTCGACAAGTTGTGTTCGCACTGCTTGTTCCTAGTTGTTGTAACAAGCCGTTGACATCTTGTAACAAGCTTGATGGCATTATCAGACTTGTTACAAGGTTGTTCTAACCAGTCTGGTACAGTCATGATAAAACAAGAATCTTACAAGGTTGACAACACATGGTTGTAACAATATTGTTATATCATGACTGCATGTACCAGATTTGTTGGAAAAACCTTGCAACAAGTCTGATAATATCAACAAGCTTGTCACAAGTTGTTAACAACTTGTTCCAAACTTGCTGACAACTTGGGACAAGCAGTGCGAATACAACTTGTTGACGGTTTGTTGGCAGACTTGCTACAAGATGTGAAATTTTTACGCATGTACGCAGCACAACTCAAGTTGTAAGCAGGTTGCATGTGACAGTTTTAGGCAAACGTTGTGTAGTGTAAAGTGGCCTTTGCAAATATATAAACTATTATATTTTGTTTGTACTGAACCCAAGGTGAAGGTCGTGGTTTTGAGATTGCGCAAGGCCGCTTGGGGCCTGGACGAATACATCATTGTATGAGAACAATCGGCACGGCGGAGAGAGCCTTGGAACTAATGTGTGAACGCGTGACGTCAAGAACTGCTTTTGGAGAACTTCTAGCAAAAAAGGTAGCGTTCATTTATCTTTCATATCGTTCATTAGCAAAGAGGAGGGGACATTCCATCAGTCAATCTTTCTTTCTTTTCGATGTGCCCATCCAGCGATGTGGCTCTCGTCTTAATGGGAGGGTCTATACCCAAACAGTGACGGAAATTTTTTTTTGGGAGGGGGGCTAAAACACAAGTTTAGATCTTCATTTAAACACTGCCAAAAAATTAATTGGGATATATTTCTCACGGATTTTGTGTTTTATTTACAAGGTTTTATGAATGTGTATTTAAAATCTGCATGCGTTACAATGGCAACGGACATGGTATTTTTAAAATTTTCATTGTTTTTTGGTGTAATATGTAATGCTTGCTTGAAATCAGAGAGAATAGTCAAGAAGGGTCAGCAAACGCTCTGTTCAGCGGCTTTTACTTCAAAACAATGTATTGTTTAGCGTATTGTGGTTTCGTGTAAAGCGAACTCATTCAACAGCAGGTTGAAATCTTTTTCTGGTGATGTTATAAAAGCGTTTTAGTTAGTCAAGTGTTTGGTAAAAGAAAGAGAAGTGTTTATCGTAAGTCACGAAAAGGACTTGGCTTTGTTGGTGTGCAAAAGCAAGCGTTGCAAGCGTCTGAGAACAATCAATCGGTCCTTGAGTGATCACGAAGTGATGTGAACAAGGCCCGTGACTGTACACGTTGGATAGCTCCTTGCCTTTTTCTTCTATTTCATAAAGCTTGCTGGGAAGTCAAGCGGTTGGCGATAACACGTTGGCTATCTCCTCGTCTTTCTCGTTTGAATAAAAAGAGCTCTGACGAGTCAAGAGATTTTCTTTAGTCTCAGTTATTTTGTATGATACAAAGACCCGCTTCTGTTTAATAGTTGTTTATGCTACTGACTGATGACAATATGTTTTTCGCTCTTTGTACTGAGTGTAGCCATCTACTCTGTGGTGTAGCAGTGTAGCACCTTATATACAGTCGATGTATAATGAATATACGGTCTAAACAATAAATATCGGCCACTTAATTAAAATATGAATTGAATGCCGGTAAAATACAAAACATCAATTTATATATTGCGTAGAATCTCAATATTCATGTCTGAAATATGTATATATATGAAAACAGACTGTATCGCTTCTTCCTAGCTCTGTATAATGAATATACCGTCAAAATAATATCGTCAATTGAATGCCGAATCTCAAAGATTTTCTCAATATTTACGTCTGAAACGTTTCAAGTTTATACACACATTTGAAATAAAGCACTGCCTAGGTCCTTCCCTGCTCGGTATAATGAATATAGCCTACCGTCTAAATAATATCAGTACTTGATTGAATGCCCATAATGCATAACATCAATTTATATATTGTGCAGATTCTCAAAGATTTATTTACTTAATTTTCAAGTCTAAAATATTTATATATTTGAAAACAGCTTGATACGGCTTGATAGCGCATGCGCATTTGCGCTGCTAAAGAAAAAATTGGGTGTTTCCGGGGAAAGATCCTTTACACAACATGAAAAGCGAATGGTCTAAAATTTTTAAAAAATTACAAAAACGACAAGGATTCCTCGAAATTTTTGTGAACTTGGCAAAAGGACAAAATAATATTAAAATAAAACAACTGAAATTGCGTAAATGACTTTCAAAACACTGATTAAGGTAATTCCGCAGTTTTGCATTGCGCACTTTTACTGCGTACATCTTGTAACTTATAATTTCATCCATTATACGTACCGTTTAAAAAAAATCATTTTATGACAATTTTGTGTTACTTCAAAACATCTTTGGTTACATTCGTGCAAAGAATTACGTTAAAATCAATGTTTTCAAAAAAGGCATACAAAAGTGTAGCTAGGGTTCCTGTGTCTGTAGTATATTTATTTACTTAGCTTGTATTTCACGTTTTAATGCCACAATTCCCTTAAAAGATCGGTGACCCCTGCTTTTTAACTGATAATTTATTTCTTTAATGCATTTTACATTTCATATCCGAAATTAAAAGAAAAATCATTTCTGGATCTTGAAAAAAAATGCTTTATCAATCCATGTTCTCAAAGAAAGATATATAAAGAAATGTGGAAAAGACATTTGTGGATCAGAATTGTACACGTTAGTAGTTTCATTTTGCTCAAAACACAATATTTTTTCAAAAATAATTACAAGATAGGTTTGCTAAAGCAAAATCCGCGCTAAAAACGTCAATAAATATCGGGCTGTTGTGAGTTTGCTGTTGCTCGTAATGAGCGTCAAGATGGCGCCATATTGGGGTAAAGGTGGTATATTGCGATTGTCATATATCTTCTTAACGAGTTCGGTTACCCCGACTTTTTTGTGCGATTTTATTTTAAGTATATCATAAACTCCATGCTTGGGAAGTTTCAGCACATTCTCATTTCGGGAACAATTACTGCGGAATTACCTTAAGTACATTAAATCATTACAAACATAAATCGTAAGTGAAACTTTACACTAAAAATGTGATATTTTAAAGTTGTATAAAGTGCATGCATGATTACCTAATAAGTTCTCGTTCAACATATATTATTATAGTTTGCAATTGCAGTTTTGCCTTCTCGAAAACAACTTGAGAACAGGTGCGATGGTGAGACATGTAAATGAAAGTTTGTTTTGAAAGTACAAGTAGTCAAGTGAAAAAGCACTTTTCGTCGAAATTAATTTCGTCATAATTACAAAGTAAAAAGAAACACAAGCTCGCGTCTCGCTTTCGATTTTCACATTAAAAACTATATATCTCATGTTATTCTAAACCACTCACAATAAGAAAGTAACTATGCAATATACTACTTTCGAAATAAATATTTCGACCAATGGCAATGCTCCGTGATGGCAAAATATTCTCAAAATTTTCAAACATTTGCGGAAATGCAGGAGGTCGCTGTATATGAGAGAAACATTATATAGACATTGCAAGCTGTCTGCAAATTTTAGGTTTCGTAAAATGTTTTATCCACAAATTTCGTCGTCTAATCGCGAGTTAAATCGCCTTTAAATTTAATTGCCATGCAAGACTTGATTATTCTTATTTTGATTATCTCGGTATTTTTTTAACATGCAGCTATTCCAGTATTCCTAATTGTTATTCTTTTGAATTTTGACTATTCTTTCAGAAAACACTCAGACATACCGGCGTTTGTAATTATCATGGAACGGCAGAAAAATCGGCCATTTTAAATTGGTCATGTTATAGTTCAGTTTTTAACGCAATGATACAAAAAATATTTCATTTGGTAGTTAAAGGCCTAATCTTTACTAGGATGGGAAAATTAAATGTATACATACCCAATACTTAACGCACAAAAACATGGCAAATTTTTTATACACCTTGTATATAATTAAATAATTTGAAGAAATGAAAGCATTTTTACTTTTCTACGTTTTATTCGACTATATTTTAGTCATGTTCAGGAATGGATGAAATTACAAGCATAACAGTGCCTTATATACCCTAGTTACAGCTACTGTTTTTCTTAAAGCTGATTTCCACTGTTGTGTTTTTCGTACGCACGTACACACGCACGTAAAACTTTGAATCCTTCTATTTTTTTAAAATATTTTACAAATAAGTTAACAAACGCATACTTAAACTTGCAGAACACTAAATTATGTTGCTTTATTTATTTAGTTATTTCACAAGTAATATTTAAACGGATTTAAAGTTTTACGTGCGTATATACGTATGTATGAAAAACGCAACAGTGGAAATACATACATACTTTATTGTGTTCCTCAAAGAGGCTTTTCAACACTAATTTACATGGAATGGTGATTAAAAAACAAGGTTAAGATTACATATTTAAACTTTACTAGGAAAAATCTTCTATTATTAAAATAGTCCATTACTAAGCATACAGTCTGTCTAACATGTCTTTCTTTAATTTATTCTTAATGATGATATGCATATTAATATATAGAACAATATAAGTGTAGAGTTCGTTGCGTTCACATTTACTATGAGCAAGATATTGTTAGTGAGTTTCCTTCAAATTTTATGGGTTTTTTTGGAAGAAGGGTTATTAGTGCAGCTAGGATTTAACCCGTCGACATATTCAGGCTTTTCAGCGCTTTCCATCCTTCGGTACGTAACACCTTGTTTTTCCAGTAAAAGATTAAACAGTTAAATGTACAATTCATCAAAGCTATGGTTTTTACCCACATCGCTGCAAGGTTTGCATTATCTAAACCAATTTTTGTCCCCGGCGAGATTATTCTTAATCCAATGTTGACGCTCATTGGGATGGATACCACCACAACACAAGCAACTACCAGCAAATAACTCGATATATTTTTCAAAGAAACCGTCTTTTTCATACCGGTCGATGTTCTTTTGTTTTTACGATTTTTCCTGACGACTAGAAACAGCTTGTAGTTGATAAATAACATTGCAGGAATGACAAGAATAGAAATAATTAGACAATGCAAATGGTAGGAAATGAAAAAGTTGTTTACAAATATCGAAATCAAAATTACATAGACGATGATCAGTATGGCAAGAAGAGTTAAAAGTCTTCTTTTCGTTACCGACGTTCGATGAAAGAAAGGATAAGATATCGCCAAATATCGATCGAAATTCGTCACCAAAAGAGCGAAATATGAAAAACAAAGGAAAATACTTGTGGAACTTAAGGAAATATGAGGCCATCTAGCATTTCCATCCAACTTTCGTGTCATCCATGACATCGAGATGAGGGCCATCAATGGACTATTAGTTAAAACTGTAAGCAAATCGCAGCAGGACAAAACCATGATCATGAAATAACTTAATTTCTTTCGGAATTGTGCAGACCTCCAGAAACTGACTATGACCAAGGAGTTTAAACATATTCCTGAGAAAAAGAAGAATACGTTCACAGCAAATATGAATATAAGGTTGATAAAATAAATAGATTCCATCCTCGAGCGAGTTCTTCTGAAGAATTAACGCAACGCAACGGCTGAAAAGTAATTTATTGTTGTACAAGGTTGTCACACCTGTTTTTAATTGGTGACAATGACATACTGCTTCGAGTTACAGACAATGACATACATGCTTCGTGACAATGTGACAATGACATACATGCTTCGAGTTGCCAGTCACGTACGATCGTTGCCCAAAATAAATTAGAATCACTACCTACCAAAGTGTATAAAAATATTGGCATTAAGCAATGGAGAGCAGTGCGCAAGAGCAGCATTTTCCCCAACAAACAAATATTTTCCCGACATCATTAGGGAACCAGAAGCACTTAACATATATCATGCATAAATTATACAATGGGCTTATTAGTACGTATTCAATTTTAATCTGTTTGACAAAGAAGGCAAACATTTTCTATTTCCTCATTTACTTTTTATCTAAATTTAACAAAAAATTTAATTCGTTTGTTCTTGGGTGATGTTCAATAGTTGCATTAATTTTCGTAGTAATACATTTGATATTTTAAGTCATCTTGCTAACAGGCAGACAACAGATGGTCGAAATATACATGTTCGACTGTTGACTTATTTTCATACACATGTATATTTTTGTCGAAAGTGAGAATTTTACTGGATTTTAGATTCTCTTTAAAATGGGTTCATTTATTTTGTAAATTTCACGAGTTTGAACACTCAAATATATTTTCCAAGATCATTTGATGATATCTCATTGCGAATAAAAATGGGAAAATAGACTTGAAATTACCGGTCGAAAACAATTTTTTCTATCTCTGCTGCCGCAAAATATTCTCAGAATTTTCAAACATTTGCGCAAATGGAGGTCGCTGCATATGAGAGAAACTATACAGTATAGCTAGGCATTGCAAGTTCTCTGCAAACTTCAGGTTTCGTAAAATGTTTTATCCACAAAATTTCGTTGTCTAATTGCGAGTTAAATCATCTATAGATTAATTGCCAAGACTAGATTACTTTTATTTTGATTATTCGTGTATTCTTTTGACAGCTATGCCTTGTTATTATTTTGAATTTTGAGTATTCTTTCAGAGAATAATTTCAACACTCGCACTCATTTCAACACGCGTTTGCAATTATCTTGCAACGGCAGAAAAATCGGCCATTTCAGTTAAATTGGTCGCGTTATAGTTCAGTTTTTAACGCAATGATAGAAAAAATCTCATTCGATAGTTCAATGCCTAATCTTTATTAGGATGAGGAAATTAAATCCACATATAGCCAATACTTACCACACAAGAACATGGCAAATTTTTTATACACACTGTTTATAATGAAATAATGTAAAGAAATGAAAGCATTTTTATTTTTCTACCTTTTATTCGACTTGTCTATATTTTAGCCATGTTTAGGAACGGATGAAATTACAAGCATAACAGTGCCTTATATACCCTAGTCGAAGATGTTGATAGTGATTCTGATTCAGATCTCAATCAGAAGAAACTCCGTCACCCATTAGTGCATCAAGAAAGAAATTAAGTCAGCATAGCTGCCTTGGTGCCCCAAAAGATGTTGTAGAAAAAGGGATTGACGACCAAACCTCTGCATACAGACTTGTTGACATTCAACAACTGTTATCTGCTGGCTTTGATATTCATAAATGTCGAGAAGGTAGGCCTCATGATTTTATTCTAACATGTAAAATATACTTCTGGTAAAATTTAAAACTATCTCTTAGTTGTAGAATGCAGTTTTACTACAAATTTATGCTTGTCCAATCCCCAGTGGACCAATAAATACCACTACATTTTTACTGTCATCATCATAAGACTTGATGAGTATATTTTAGTACGTGTGTGTGTGCTGCCCAAATGATATGTTATTATATCCCACTAAAATGTTTGAAAACTTTTACATAGGAAACCTATTACTTGAAGAAGGCTTAAGGAAACAGGGGTTTATGTCAAGCCTGAACATGGTATGTGATTCGTGTAAAAATGTTGAAGTGTTAGATACATCTGATAGTGTATCGCGAAGGGGGACATCTTATGATGTAAATCGACGGATGGTTTACAGTTCAATTGAAATTGGTTGTGACTATGAAGGATTGGTTACACTATCCAGGATTTGGACCTTCCTTGCATGACTAAAAGTGCATACCATACTCAGCTGGAAAACATCCTGGAAGTATTGGAAAGTGAATGCAAAGATGAAATGAAGATGGGTTGGTGTCAATGTCCGTGAAACAGTATTGAAGGAGAATGGAGAAGTGGGTGATGGTCAGCCAGTAGAAATTGCTGTCAGCTTTGATGGAACATGGGCCAAGCGTGGCTTTACCTCATCGACTGGTGTTGTTTTTGTAATTTCGTTGGACACTGGGGAGGTTTTAGATTACCACGTTCTCTCTAAAACCTGTCAAAAATGTGCTCTAAAGAAGTCTAAATGTGAGAATGGCAATGAATTTGAAGAATGGAAGATGGAGCATGAGGCATCAAATGATTGTGACATTAACTTTCATGGTAGCTCACCGGCAATGGAAGCTAATGGAGCAGAAGTTCTTTGGGAACGATCGATAACGTCACACAACCTACAATAACGATGGATGACTTGCGATGGTGATAGCAAAGCTCATAGTGCAGTTGAAGAAGTATACCCAGGGTGTAAAGTAGAAAAGCTCGACTGTGTGGGACATGTGCAAAAGCGCATGGGAAAACGCTTGCTCAACTTGAAAGCTGCTACGAAGGAGAAGTTAGATAATGGAAAGACGATTGGAGGAAAAGGTCGCCTTACTGAAGAAAATATAAAGAAATTACAAAAGTATTATGGGCTTGCTATTCGTCAAAACACTATTGGCAAGAATTCACCTTCAGAACAGGAAATTGATGTTGCAGTTTACCAAATGAAAAAGAACATCATTGCCTCCCATTCACCATAGTGTTCAATCTGATGACCTGGCTAAACAACACAGATTTTTCCCGAGAGGTGAAACATCATGGTACAAGTGGCAACAGGATAAGGCAAGTGGAACATCAACCTATAAGGGAGGTGAATGCTTGCCTTGAAGCCTGTGTATATGACTTTAAGTGATGATAATTTACTAAAAAGGTGTGTACTTGGTGCCACACAAGACGTGAATGAATGTATCAATGGTGTCGCCTGGTCTCGATGTCACAAGCAGAAGCATCATGGGTCTAAATCTGTTCGTTGTGCTGTTGCCTCTGCTGTTTTACAGTTCCACTGTGGAGCTGCAAGTAGAGGTATATACAAGCAAAAGTTCGGCTTCAAAAGATAGAAAACGCGTGACCACCGCTGATGTGCGAGCAACCGAAAAAGAGAAAAAGCGACGCCAAGGGGAGAAAATGATTTGTTTGAGAAGGGAAGAAGCCTTAAAGAGAGGCAGAAGGTACCACATATGAGATAGATAGATAGTTTAATAAATCAAATATCGCAGCCAAAAAAGGCTGAATTACAAATGATTTACAAATGATATGAAATAAAATACTAAGTTCATTATTTACAGTTCATTGTTGCTTAATATATTACTCGCTAAAAACTACAACATCACTTTCCAATTCACGAAGCCAAAAAACGGCTGAATTACAAATGATTTACAATTGATATAAAATTATTTACAATTCATTGTTGCTTAAACTATTACTACGCTAAAAACTACAACGTCACTTTCGCTGCTTGACTAGGTATAAAAGAATTTTTATAACGGTCTGTTTTGATTAAAGAAAGTTTGTACTTTCTCACGGTTCGAATGCTGTCAAAAGACGTATTTAAACTAGGTAAGAGATTCTTTAATTTATGACTTGGATCTTGTTCAATTTGTTCAAAAAGCTTTATACATGAATATTCTCGTCTGTCATAAAGTGACTGTAAATGTCCCTGTTCCAAGGCTTCCTTATACCTCATTCCAGGAAAAATTATCCTCATTGCACGTCCTTGTACTGGTTCTAAATCGTGGGACAGATATGTGTAGGAAGACTTGAATGACAAACTTCACAAGCATATTCTAGAATCGACCTGATACACGCATTATAGAAACCAATTAGATGTTTCTTATCAACACCAGCACGTCGAAATTGTTTTAAAAGATACAGTCGTTTCGAAGCCTTAAGAACAACTGTTCTTATATGTTTATTCCATTTTAGGTCGTCTGTTAACGTCATACCCAGAATTTTTGCTGATTTTACAATTTCTAGGCGTTGCCCGTTTATAATAATTGGTTCAGCCATGCATTCACGTTTGGCAAACTGAATCCTCAATTCTTTGCATTTAGCTGGGTGTAGGTGTAATTTATTTTGATCAGACCAGTTCACGCTCCTGTCAACAATTGGGTAAGGCACTGTTACCGAACCTAGGAATAACCTCAGATATTGTAGTATCGTCAGCGTATTTCCACATATCCTTTAAGGAGTCGCCCGAAAGTTAATTTGTCTTGTAGATTTCAAATAAAACCATTCCTCTCCATTTCGCATTTCGAATAATACTATAGACTCGGGATTACAAAATGCGAATGTAAACTCTCCATCTAGTATTGCTTTCTCGTCCTCTTCGTTTGACAGTGAAGTAACACGGCATATCCACGCTTTCTTAGTTCACGGACGTGAGAGTCAATGAAAGAGTTCAATTTGCAAATGACTATTAAGATGGGTTTCTCCAGAAAATTGTGGCTTTTGCCAAGTCGTCGTGCTACTCTTGGTGTTAGAACTTTGGAATATTAAACTCTTCCCATAACCGATAGCAAGATGCAAATACATCTTTAATGTGAATCAAAATTGGACAAGGCGCAATATTGATGCTCCGTTAAACTTTTAATTCAGGAAATTTATCAATCTATCTATTAATGCAGCCTATAAAACTGCTTCTTTCAACTTTTGTTCGTTTATTTAACAATATAGACATTTCAAAATTCAAATGTTTCAATTCAATCAAAACACGAAACGCCTGCGAACAGGCTATGATGTTTACAATATCCAATCAGAACACGTAGTCTATCGAACCTGTAATCAGCAGCCAATCAACTCTTTCCTTCCATTTTTGAAAGTTATGTGTGGAATGAACCCGAAAAACTACGCCAATTTCACCAGAGGGTTATTCAACCCTCTGGCTCTAGGGTACCCGAAAGTCGAAGGTCATTAATCATAGCGAGAAAAAGCCACGGACCAAGTTTAATTCGTTGAAATCGGTTACGTAAAGAATCGACTATCCAATTTAAAACTGTTGGTTTACTACCATCATCATGAAGCTGATGCCTTTTAAGTTTTAAGTACATCCAGAAAGACTTTGGTTATAGATTTGAGTACATTAGACATTAATTCATAGACATCACAAATAACCCAAACTTTAAATGCCGTTTTCTCAAAATCACCTATTTCACAGATTGGGAAAGGATATCTCTGGCCGGAACAATCAATTGATCTGAAATTTTCAGGCTTTATGCATCTTACTGTGTTGTTGGGGATGAGTTGAGGATTTTTTCATATCTAGTTTTTAACCAGAGTTATTGCATAAAAATACCTAGTATATTTACGCACTGACTTTAACCCTTCGTTTCTGGTTGAATATTTAAAATTTTCAAAAATCCTCAACTCATCCCCACAATTACTTAGTGTCATGTCTTTTATTAAAAAATGGGTTGATTTGAATTTGCCCCTGGCAAGATATTTTTTTTCAACTTCAGTCTGTCGAAAAACAGCATGTAGCCACTTTAACCACTTGGTTGCCAATGGCAACGCAGTGTAGCTACCTTAAATATATTTTTTTAGAATCTTCATTAGGTTTCTCCTGATATATAGTTTGCCATAAGGTTTTTAAAAAGGTTTTGCCACAACAGACCCTTTAAAGATAGCTAGTGGCGATCCTTAAGTTTGGGTAGACCCTCCCCTTAAAACATGCCCAAACAACTTCAATCTTTTCTTCTCGATCGACGATCTCCCACATTTTCCGTTTCATTTCTCCTTTTTCCTTCGTGTAGTCTCGACCATTATCTTTAGACGCGTCATTCGGTCACTTCCACATCTATATTATATTAATACCGCATATCTTTCTATAGGCAATTCCAGCTTTTAATTTATGCGTGCAGGGGACGATGGGAAGTAAGGTATCACATTGCTGATTATGCTGAAAAAATAAAAATGGTGGCCGTGTAAACACGGAGTGATAGTTTATACTTGTAAATATTGAAATATTTTGGTTGTTTCGGTAGTTTTATTGATAGTTTTTCAGCAAATCAGCAATATGATATCTTACTTCCCATCATCCCCTGCAGGCATAAACTAAAAGCTGGAATTGCCTATTTTCCCTCATTTCCATTTTATCATGTTCAATATTTCAGGGTATGATTCAAAACGACATTGCGATGAGCCGCGTAGAGATCGATCAAGCTCGCTTGATGACGCTTCAAGCTGCACGATGCATTGACTGCATGGGAACTAAACGGGCACGAAAACAGGTAAGCATGCTGACGTGACAACTCTCAAACGTGTTCCACACGCGTAGAAATCTTGTAGCAAGTCTGCCAATAAGCCGTCAACAAGTTGTGTTCGCACTGCTTGTCCCAAGTTGTCAACAAGCTTGAACAACCTTGTTGATATTATCAGACTTTACTTTACTTTACTTTTTTTTTTCTTTACTTTACTTTTTTTACTTACACTTTTGTATATAAAAAGAGCGTGTGAATCTAAACAAGTCACATATTATTAGCACTGATGAAGATCCGGGCTTACGGATCGAAAGCTTTGCAGTAATAAATTTACGTGGTGTTTCCACAAACAAAAACAATTATATTTTATCGCCATGCAAACATTCAAAGAACTTATTAAAACAGACTTGTTGCAAGATTGCTCCAACACATCCGATACAGCCATGATATAACAATATTGTTGCAACCTTGTGTCGTCAACCTTGTATTCTTGTTATATCATGACTGTATCAGACTTGTTAGAGCAGACCTTGTAACAAATTTGATAATACCATCAAGCTTGTTACAAGTTGTTAAACAACTTGTTCCAAACTTGTAACAACAGCTAGGAACACAACTTGTCGACAGCTTGGGAACAGATTTGTAACAACTTGATTGCAGACCTGTAACAACTTGTGCTTTTTTACGTGTGTACATGCAATTCTGTTCCGACAACTTGCCAACAGGATGCGTTCGCACTGCTTGTTCCCAGCTTGTTGACAACTTGCTGCAAGGTTGTTGAACTCAACAGACTTGTTACAAGTTGTTCCAACAACTTGTTATCGTCCTCGGGCCGGTTGTATAAAACTCTTAATCACTTTTTCAATCACTATGTTGTAGTTAAATAGTGATTAACTCTCAAATACGCGTTTCTTATTGGATGACGTTTCATGCACTAACTACAGTTAACTTTAATCACTTTTTTATACAACCGTCCACTGCAATTCAACAATTTGTCAACAAGTTGCGAGTGACAACCTTGTAGCAACTAGACTTGCTCCAAGTCTCTCTTTCCTTGTCATATACACGGCAAAAAACGCTCAGGTTGATGCAATACTGATGAAAACAGGATTGAACAATGTTTTGCTGCCCACATTGTTCATAGCTGTCAACAACATTGAACAATATTGTTACACCCGATTCATGCTCAACAGCATTGTTCAATACTGTTGACAAGTGTGAACAACGTGGGCAGCAAAACATTGTTCAGTCCTGTTGAGCAACGGTCTCGGCGTTTTTTGCCGTGTAGTATCGATCCACTATAGTGTACATTACATGACGCCCCTCCGTGCTACGTCATGTAATCTACACTATAGTGGATCGATATTATATGACAATGAAAGAGAGACTTGGAGCAAGTCTATGTAGCAACTTGATAAAATAACAGAATTGCTACAACTTGTTGACAAGCTTGCTACAAGTGTGAAATTTTTACTTGTGTAGATGACAAACATTAAAACAGTAATTGGTATCTTGCAAAATATGTTAATGATTCTTGACAGTAAGCTTGACTTTTAGCTGACAACTGACATACAGACCGCCATTAAAACCATGCCATAGATTTGCAAGACTTTTTCCAATCTCTAGATTGCCATGGCCAAAATAGCAGTTCCTCGCATGGCACAAAGAGTCGTAGACCGTGCTATTCAGTCGTATGGTGGTGCCGGCGTCTCACAGGATACTCCGCTGGCCTATATGTACGCAGGATTGCGGACTCTCCGCATCGCTGATGGCCCTGACGAAGTGCACCTGACTGCCGTGGCTAAACAAGAACTCAGGGAACAAATGCAAAGTCGTTTATAGGTCACGTGATGAAGATACGTAGGCAGAATTATCGTCCTGGCGTGGGTGCTATTTCATAATAGTGAGCTTAAGCAAGTGACGTTTTTGACGACACGAACGACATGAGTAACGTCAGAAGACTGGATCAAGGGCTGTGATTGGTGAAAAACGTCAATTTTACTTCCGGTCGACGTCCGTGTTGTCAAAAACGTCACTTGCTTAAGCTCACTAATTGGTATCACGTCGTCAGTGATATTGTGTGCTCAAATATAATCTACACAACATGTGCTAAAATTGATTAAATGAAAAAATCTAGGTGTATAGGTATTTATCAGTTACTGTAGATTTTGAATGAGATGCCTAGATTTTCAACACAGATTTTTAATGAGATACTGTACCTAGATTCCCAGAGAATTGTGACTATGAGGCTGAATGGCTGCTGGCCAGTCATTAACCAATTAAACCAATTTAGCCATGGTCTCTCGCGAGTTACAAACGGGAGTAAATTCGTTCGCCAACATGTTGACAAATCGAAACTGCGTGAGACAAATTGTTCGAGTTCAGAGGCCAGTTGTTCAAAGCTATAGGGTAGCTTAACCCTATAGCTATAGGTTAGCTTAATCGAAAGCCGATTATAGCCTTACCCTAGATTAACTAGTTTAAAGCAAACTTCCTGACAGCTTGTCTATACATTTGGAAATATTTCTTCAGAGATCTTGTGCGGATCGATAGGAGTTTACTTCGCCTCTGAAGTTTTGAAATAAACAGGCGTGCAGAAGTATACAAACTAAAACAGCAGGTTAAATGCTAAGGATTAGTGGATTAGTGCTAACCCACCTTTGAACAACCAACCGGCCCTTGTGCGCTTAATATAAATATACTATATAAGCGCCCTGTTGGAGATACAATACATCCCAATTATTAAAGGCCCCCTTAAAACAAATTTATTCTACCTACAACCTTGGGCATAACCCTTGTTAACCAATATTGCAATGTTAACGCACATTGACATATAAACAACGCCGAAACAACTTTTGGCAATTTACCATGACACAAGCGCGACACGATGACATGATTCAACATGGAATATTGGAATTTATCATAAGGGGTGTCACTCTCAATCAGTTATATCCAAGATTGTAGCTCCCGTGTGCCACAGTATTTTTAATCCTTCAATTCTCTCACCAGAAGTTTGGAAATGCGCAGTTCCGTTTTGGAAGCAGATACATAATTGGCTTGCGTATTTAAAAACGCCAGTGCCAACATAATTTGCGCATTTTAATTGTTCGCGATATCTCAAATGTCGAGGAAAACATGGAAAATTATAGCCTGTGTTAATTAACACAGTCACAGGCTAGGAAAATTATCAAAACAATTATTAAACAGACGATTAAATATATAATACTATCATTTACCAAAACAATTACTGTAAGTAGACTGTAGACAATTAATTAAATATATGATAATGATTTGGACAATTTGGTGCTCAATGTGTTAAACGTAGAGCGGAAATATAAAGTGAAAGGAAATATATTCATATTCAAATCGCTTTCCCCTTGTGTTTTTCTGAGTGTGATACCGTTTTGCTGAGTGTGATACTGTTACCGCGACCACATACGTGAACAGTAATGACTTGACATATAATTTAATAATACACGCAGCAAGACACGGTAAACATAGCCATAATAATTCAATCTGATTGTGAACTATGATATCTTGTCTCCCTTAGCGGTAGCCCGTCTATTTTCACTATTTGAAAGAAAGTAAAAGCGCAAAAACATCACTTACAGTTGAGTACCGACAGCTCATATGAAGTTTATATAAGCTAAAAAGCAAACAAGTTTAATAGCGCAAAAGTCAAAGGGCAAAGTTCGCGCAAAAAACTCGCATGTTTAATACAATATGTTGATAATTTTTAAAAGAGTTTATAATCATGCCAAACAAACTTGTTGTTGATCGGATTTCTCTTGCATTTCTCGCTTACTCATTCAGAAAGCGGAACACCATAAAAGGTTAATTTACTCAAGCAATAACAGATGAGCTAAATCTGCGAATGACGTGGCGTTTGTAGTTTCAAAGTTCCGGGTGGTGAGGTCACTAATTATTCAGCGTCATAAAGAGATTCTTTGCGTAAAAAACAGGTCGCAAAATCAAAGAAAACAATAAAAGAAGTGTTTGTTTAGTAAACTAAGGGATAATTTATAGAATTTGTTAGAATTCAGAGATGATTTTTTCGAATAAATGAAAATTTCCAAAGTTTTTAGTCTGGATATAATTGAGACCACTCCCCCCGGGAAATTCCAGCTCGTTCTTACACAAGAAGGCGTTGTTTCCGTGGGCCTTTGCGCATGATCTTTGATGGACAAAAATGGCGAATTGATGTAACTTAGACGAGAGCGCTAAAACCGAAATAATTCACCATCTTTTGAACAAGAACTGTGTATATTTTGTCCTAAATTTATCATATTCCTAAACTGCCAAGCCATGTTCAGCTGGTTGAATAAACACGAGAAGAAGGACCCGATTGTTTTACAGTCTGTGGTCGATGGTTTGAAGAAATTGTACAAGACAAAGCTGCGTCCGCTCGAAGAGCACTACTTATTCAATGATTTCCACTCGCCTTTGATGTCCGACGCTGATTTTACGGCCAAGCCTATGGTCCTGCTTGTCGGACAATATTCGACGGGTAAAACAACGTTTATAAAATATCTTTTAGAGCAAGATTTCCCTGGTTTAAGAATAGGCCCAGAGCCCACAACGGATAGCTTCATAGCTGTGATGCATGGGGACCATGATCAAGTGATTCCTGGAAACGCTTTGATTGTCGACCCATTCAAACAGTTTCAGTCGCTTGGTGTGTTTGGAAATGCGTTTTTAAATCGTTTATACTGTTCGGAGTTGCAAAATAAAGTTGTGGAAAGTATCACCATCATTGACACTCCTGGCATTTTGTCTGGTGAGAAGCAGTCTGTGTCAAGAGGGTACGATTTCACTGGTGTGCTTAAATGGTTTGCAGAAAGGGTCGATCGAATCATTCTCCTTTTTGATGCGCACAAGTTGGATATCTCGGACGAGTTCCAACGCAGCATCGACGTGCTTCGCGAATATGATGAAAAGATTCGAATTGTCTTGAATAAAGCAGATATGGTCACGACCCAACAGCTCATGAGGGTCTATGGTGCATTGATGTGGTCGCTCGGCAAAGTGATCAACACGCCTGAAGTCTCGAGGGTATACATTGGCTCGTTCTGGGATGAGCCGTTGCAGAATGATGAAAATAGACGGCTGTTTGAAGCTGAATCGCAAGATTTGTTTGCAGATATCCAGAGTCTTCCGCGAAATGCTGCCTTGCGAAAATTGAATGATTTTATCAAGAGAGCAAGACTTGCCAAGGTAAAAACTGGAACTTATTGGTAGAAACTTAATTGAATTGGTAGCATGCTTGGGGTCCAGTGCCTGTTCCAAAATTGTTATAATCTGAACTTCAAAGTTCTTTGAGGTTCTGCTTGTAGTTTTCGAGTAATTGTATTCCTATCAGGGCGCAAAATAATGGCCAGTCAACGGACAATGTTTGGCCAAATTCTTACCTTGCTTACAAGCTCAAATTCTTACCTTGCCGGTCATTTTGACCGGTCACTTTTGGTAAAAGAACAAACTAATCTTCATTTTAATTACTGATTACAGTAAGGCTTTTTATATAGCCTGATTCAGGCTAGGCTTTTTATAATGCTATACTGGGAAAATAGTCATATTTTTAGGGGTACTTTACTAGGCTTTGCTTTAAGATGAATAATTTGACCACTGCAGCCAGATATTCGGTATGTCCGAGCTAAAATTTTGTTGGCCATTCACCTTGACCGGCGACCCTCCAGCCGTTATTTTGTGCCCAGTGTCTTATCAATCCGAAACTTTCTTAGCTTTTGTAACCCTATTATCTAGATGTTCAAAAATAGGAACTCAAAAGTTTGCTTGTTTTAATGCCTACATGCATTATTTTCCACCAAAAGACAACTTGGAAGTATCATATAAAAGTGAAAGTTACTGGTGCGTTCACTTCCTGTTGATGAAATGAAAAGAAATCTCGAGCAAACATGTTTCTTTCATTGTTAAATTTCACTTAACCTTGGTTGTCCTTTGGCTTTGCCAAAGAGTTCTGTATTGGGCAGGTGAAAATTGAAATTGAAACAAAGTTAGATTCTCAGGGTTTGAATGCGAGAGGAAAAATTTGCAAATTTCTTTATGGTAATTCAAAGGGAATTTTCCAAACTGTCATGTGATGAAACTGCATAATGTGCAACAACAAACACAGCTGTTTCCAGGCTGTGAATTTCATAAATATTGTATGTTGAAGGAAGTTCAGCCAGAATACTGTAGGTAGTGGTGATATTGCCAGGTTTCCATATAGTCATACAGTTGATTTCACATAACTTTTCCCTGAATGTTGCGAACTTTGTTGTGAAGTTCAAAAGTTCATACTGAAATTTGCAAGCCGGTTTGTAAACAAAGCTTGTGATTGGCTTATATTTGTTGTTCGGAGACCAATCAGAGGCTTTGTTTACAAACCGGCTTGTAAATTTCAGTATGAACTTTTGAACTTCACAACGAAGTTCGGAACGAAGTTTGCAACATTCAAGGAAAAGTGATATGAAATTAACTGTAATGGTTGTAAAGATAGAGTCGCAGTCTTTATCAACAGTCCGGTTATAATCGTTGTTGCCTGTAAACAATGTATAAATCATATTTAGCAGCCCTCGAAAACCGTCAAAATTGAGGTCGGCCAAAAATGCCGACCTAAATCTGACCTAGGTTGGTATTTTTTGGACCTGACCAAATCGAACTATGAATCGAATTCTATAATCACTGACTTTTAACAGCTATCAGCACCAAAAAGTTCTTACTTTGGCTGAATTAAGGTCGGGAGCTTGATAGGTCTGCATTTAGGACGGCATTGCCGAATGCCGCCCTCGTTTTCGAGGGCTGATTTAGTATTCTCTATTTATAATCAGTCTGCCTATTGTTTAATTCTAAGCTGTTGTAGTTGTTGAGAAAGCCTGTAACTCGATCTTTACAACCGTTACAACCATATGGGGACCAGGCTTGACAAGAAGGCCTTTTGAGAAGGAGGCCTTTTGAGATGAAGGCTTAGATTTTCAATGTTTTTTATTACAAATATTCAACATTGAAAAAAGTGTAAAAAAATTTGACTGTGTGTGTCAAAATTTTTATACAAATTTGTTGATGTGAGCCCGATTATTAAATTTTAATCATTGTTATTGCTTAGGTCCATGCCTACATCATTTCAAGTCTCCGAGAACAAATGCCGTCCATGTTTGGAAAGGAAAAGAAAAAGGAACAACTCATAAACAACCTCGGGGAGCTGTACCGTAAGATTCAGAAAGAGCACAACATCTCTCCCGGAGATTTCCCGCCGATCTCAAAATTCCAAGCCAAATTGAAGCCGTACGATTTCTCAAAGTTGCACAGTTTCAAACAGAAGCTTATTGATGACGTAGATAAGATGCTTCAGACAGAGGTAACAAGGCTCATGTCAATGATTCCAAAAGAGAACGAATCGAACATGTCTATCTCTGTTCGTGGTGGTGCTTTCACGGTTGGCGATTCTGTCCATAACCCTTTCGCCACCGGTGCGGGAGAGGGCATTCAATTTGGTGCCGGTTCGGACGACTGGATTATCGCTCCGAACAAGGATAAGTATGATCGCATCTTCGAAACCCTCAATCCGGATGCTAACGGAAAAGTTACTGGCTCGAATGCCAAACGTGAACTTGTCAAATCGAAGCTGCCGAATACAGTGTTGGGTCGAATTTGGAAGCTCTCTGATCTTGATAAGGACGGAATGTTAGATGCGGATGAATTTGCGGTTGCAATGCATTTGATTAACATTAAGTTAGATGGAAATGAACTGCCTGTCGAACTGCCCATTCACGTTGTACCGCCGTCCAAACGTAAAGGGTATTCCTTAGAGTATGACTAAATATCTAGAGTGGCTAAACACCTAGAGTTTGACTAAATATCTAGACTATGAATTGATTTTTAAAAACTAAATTTAATGAGTACAGCACTTCTATCTTGCCAAATTATCTTGTGGTAAATCTTGTCTTTGTGGACAGTGATGTTGTGAAGTACCAGCACTGTAATAAACTGTATGGCATGGAATTATCTGTGCTAGATGTGTAATGGCTGATTAACTTGTGGTATATTGTCATACCAACAGTATTTGATTGTGACTCTAATTAGAATTAAAAAAGAGTCTAGACTGGGTCGTTTGCAGTGAACAGTAGTGAGTTTTTAATGTTTTAAAAATAATTATTTAAAGTCCTATATACCATGTATTATCCAAAGTTTAATATGGCAAGTAATGTCTGAAGAATTTAAATTTTAGTCAAATCATGCTTGAATCTCTTGTATAGGGTATGACTAAAGCAGGGGCGTGGCGAACGATTCCAGGTTTGGGGGGGGCGTCATACCATAATGACCAACTTTTTCAATGAAAATGACCAACGTTTTCGTGTTTAAAAAAAGTTTTCTCGAAATTTTTTTTGCGACCTCCTCCCCCCGTCACCAAAACATTTTCGGTCAGTGTATCCCATTTTTCGCGACATAAAATTTTTTCGGATATCACAAATTTTCTCCGTTTATCAAAGAACTTTTTCTAAGATTCAGAACATTTTTTTGATTTTCTAAAATTTTTGTAAATAATATAAGATTTCGTTTAATATTTAAATAATTCCTTTGGCCAACTTTTTAAACATTTTGACCAACTTTTCAAAAATTTTGACCAACTTTTCAAAGTTCATAATTATTGGGGGGGCGTCGCACCCCCGAAGCCCCCCCCCCAGTCGCCACGCCCCTGGACTAAAGGGAGAGTTACCAACCGGAGAGTTACGATTTCGGAGAGTTATATTCGAACCACGCCCACTTTCCCCAATGACCACACCCAATTTCGTAACACTCCCGACGTTTCCTTGAAGTAACATGAGAGAGTTATGTTTGACGTAACTTTCTTTCGTTAACATGAAAATGTTAGAGAGTTCTCATTTTTTATAACTTTCCGCGTTCACGATTGTGGCAATGAAGAGAGTTATGTCAGTTGTTTGAGAAAACCTTTAAATAGTATAGGTTGTTTCTTCAGATTTTCATATTTTGGTACTTCAGTTTGTAGCGTGTCAATAGCGTGCGTTCAAACAGGAAATAGTACAACTTGACTCGGTCAAAACAATCAGATGCTTGCCGTAGAAGGGTCAAAGTACCCCCCAGAAGCATGTTTTGACGTGTATTTGGCAGTAAATACGGTAAGCATAGTTGCAAGAAAATTGAAAAAATTGCGAAAATTGAATCTTTCAGAAATTCAGGTTTTGCAATTATTTTCCCCATATCAGCCAGTATAGGGCATTACATTGGAAAGGTTTTCTGGTTCTATCTAATACGAGAGCTGTATCTGAATGTTGGGCTTTGTAGGTAATCCAATGAGCATGTATAATAATTTATTTACTCGTACTCGCTTCACTTGGTAAGTAAAAGCTGAAACTTGAGAAAAAAGTAAATTCACAATAATTTACTAAAATGTGGAAGTTTTTTTCAAAAACTGACATAACTCTCTTCATTGCCACAATCGCGAACGCAGTGAGTTATAAAAAATGATAACTCTCTAACATAATGTTAACTCTAGAGAGTTGCGTCAAACATAACACTCTCATGTTAGTTCAAGGAAACATCGGGGGAGTTAAGAAATTGGGTGTGGTCTTTGGGAAAAGTGGGCGTGGTTTGAACATAACTCTCCGAAATCATAACTCTCCCAATCTTGTTCCCCGAGCCTGCGATCCTCGGGAAGGAACGCGAGGCTCTGGGATAATCCGTTTCAGGAAGGAATCTGATTGGCCGTTGATATGGAGTGCGCAGTTCAATCTTAGCCAGGATTCCTGGCCTCCGGCAACGGATTATCCCAGAGCCTCGCGTTCCTTCCAGAGGATCGCAGGCTCGGGGAACGAGATTGTAACTCTCCGAGATAACTCTCCACTTCATAACTCTCCGTTTAGCCGGTTTCTCTTGTATAAAGACCTACATGTAAATTCCTCGCGCCTGTGGTCCGTTTCTCAATAGTCTATATGGCGTTAACCCTCAGATTTTCGGAATATGTCGTGAGATCTTCGGCGACTAAGCGGAAATGTTGTGCAATGGTTTCCAATCCCCTTCGAGACTCGGTCTCCAAGCTCAAGAACTCAAGAAGACAAAAACGTGCAAAAAGAATGTAAATTTTTAAAATGGTGTTTAGTTCAGGAGCAAAAAAAGAAGTAGAACAGTTACCTGAAGCTGTTCAAGCACGGATTAAAAGTACTGTGAGATATGCAAAGATCTGGTAAGCATAGTTTTTAGAATACTTTGATGAAGTCATGTGCTCAATTTAACACTGAATGACAGTATTAAGCTTCGGATACACAAGCAATATTGTTGCTGCGATGGTTACGCAATGGGTGATAACAGCATTGCGTTGCTGTCGCACAAGGTGGCTACACCTGCAATATTTCACCTGCAATATATGTCTTCATAACGCTTTTCATTGGCTGGTCAAGAAACGTGTCATTCATCAACCTTGACCTTCCTTGACCACACCTCCCAATTTTCGGCAATCATTGCTGAAAATCAAATGATTTGAAATTTCGGTAACGATTGCGAGCAGCTTTGTGTTGCCGTCACAGAGCATGATACACAAGCAATTTCTTTCTCACAACGACAATGCAATGATTTTACCACCATTGCATTGCCATTGCCAGAAAAGTATTGCCTGTGTATCCGTAGCTTTATGACACCAGCACACTGCATGTCAGTTTGACAGTTTCTAGACTTATTCTAGTTCCTAGTCCGACAGAGATTAATTAAACTTTCATGATCATAGCAGCTTAAAATATATGTAATGCAAATATTGTAATACTCAAGCAAACCAACAATTGAGTTTTGGGTATTTTTCTGTGAATGGATTTGATTGGTTCATTTAAACAGGCAGCGGCTATATCACACAAAATTGGAACCTTACCCACACCACAGTCTGGAAATTGGCAACGTGCAACCGAGGTCCCAATGTATTTACTATTAAATTTTTGTAATCTCGGATGCGCAATTTCCAAACTTTCCAGTCTGACCCGCAACTAACCCCTTCTCTGACCCCTTCTCTGACCCTCGCACCTAAAACCCTAATTGATCAGGCCACCTGCTCACACAAGTGCCTTAAAGATGCTATACAGTCCGATCTCATCTGTGCATGTGCACAAAGGAGCCCTCTTTTTATTATACAAACAGTTTATTTAGGTTTTTATTTCATTTTATGTTCTTGCAAAACTTGATTGTCATGTCTTGATAATTTATTATTATACTCTAGAATCATGAAAATATAAATAGTTGTTGAATAAAATTCTATATTTTGGATGCTGAAATATAAACAAAGCCTTTGTTTGCATGTACGGACTGTACCGCATCTTTATAACCATTCAACTACCGAGGATTTGCCCGATAATGAGATTTACTTGATGTCTTCTTGCAAGCTGACTGAACGAAGAAATCTACCAATCAAATTATTTCACAGACAAATAGCCAGAGCTCGTTAATTGGTTTCCAACTAATTGGTTTCCAACATAATCATGTCCTGCTCTTTTTCCACTTTCTTTTTATTATTTAATTAACCAGGACTGGTCTAGTTATTGTTGCAACTGGAGTGTTGATTGCAAGCAAGCCTTATCTAGATAAATTACGGAGTCAAGATGAGCAAAATAATGTACAGATTGCCAAACCTCGTGTGAAGATGGACAATGAATAGAATGTTGTGAAAATGTAATTGCATATACTTTTCTTGTTCTGTTTTTCTGTAGCAATTACCAATTTATCGGCAAATACCACGATAAAACTTAGTTTTCTCTATTTTTAAATATGATGTTTTGTAGCAAAGGGAAATAATACATTTTTCATTAGTTTCATTGCATAAAGGTACAAAATTTAAATTTTATTGCAGTATTTGCCGATAAATCGGTAATTGCTACAGAAAAACAGAACAAATGACAGTAAATCACAACAAACTACAGTCTAAGCAGAAGTAGGCCTTAATTGTCCTGATGGAAACAAGAATTTAGTTGGATAGATTGCACTGACAGATGATTCTGAAAAATCTGGTAATTCTCTCCCCCACCCACTACTGTCAACAGGAATTTTGGGAAATATGAAACAGGAAAAAAGTTGGTTGGGCAATATTAATTAGCCATTCTGAAGTTGATGAGAGGTCTGGGGATGAGTGTTAAAAAGTGCCCAAATTAAGAAATGAACCAAAACACTAAAAAGACCACCTCAAAATTAGTGAGTATACCAAGTTTGAAGACGTTTACATGAATACCCTTCGAATAATAAGCTTTTGAAAATTGCAATATTGTCCAAAAAAAAATTCCAGTTAAAAAAATTTTTTGAAACGAGGTTCCGGTTTGTCGGAAAAGTTCTGCCCTTGGCCCCCCCCCCCCAAAAAAACATGGATCCCACGGCGCCACTGTCCCTCCTCCACCATTCTCCCCCTCCAAAAGCCGAAAACCCCTGACCCAGGGTACTTATGCCCCTTCTGTGCACCTCTGCGATTTTCTTCTCCTGATGTATGTGAACGAGTGGATCAGTTAGGAATGTTTAGATGGGGGTATACTCAGAGTCGGAGTATTCATAACTTATTTACTCATTCACGTCTATTAGAAGAAGAGAATTGCAATAGGGTTGATAAAAGAGTAGATTTCAGACCTGGAGGAATAAAATCTGTTTACTTTGGTGGAAAATTTTAGTAATGAAAGATTTATCATTTTTTTTAATTGTAGATTAGTTTGAACAGCCTGAAAATGAGAGGACAGGAAGAAACAAAGATTGTAAACAAACAATAGGAAAACGAAGATAGGTCAATAAGATATTTATAATATATCCTTTTACTTCTAGTAATGTTATTTTAAGTTCTTTGTATGTTTGCATGGCGATAAAACATATAATAGTTTTGTTTGTGGAAACATCATGTAAATTTATTACTGCATAATAAATAAATAATTTATTAGATAAATAATTAATTATTAAATAAATAATTTATTTATTTAATAATAATTTATTACTGCAGTAATAAATTTACGTGGTGTTTCCACAAACAAAACTATTAAATGTTACTTTTGTTTTCATTTCATCACATGTTAATTGTTTGGGTCAGGTTTTAAAACATCGTTTACATGTCCGATGACTTTGAGTTTGGGTTGGACATATGTATGTCAGTATGACGATGTCCGATGACCTTCAGTGTAGTGTAGCTCGGAAATAAGTCTGAATTATGCAAATTAATATTAGCACAATGTATTAATGTTGTGAAGAGATAAGTTGTGTCATTCTTACTTATTTCCAAGCCAAAATTAACCAGCCTACGGTGTAGACCCCAGCAGAAACAAAATTAACTTGCTTGCCAATAACAGCAGTAAGACATAGTCATAGACAACGTAAGTCTGTTTTCCACGTCACCATTTTGCTCGCCGCCCTGCCCTCGATTACATTAAGGTAACATGTCCAGTTCACTTTTTATACATCACTCTGATTCTCCATTTAACATACGAAAATCTAAGTAACACTTTATCAAGATGAAATATTTATATCCTATAAAGTATAAGGCTATATATGCAATACTGATTAAACATTTTTCGGTCGAAATATTCGACTTGAATTATTCATGATTTTTTTTAGATATCTTTTTTAAGATTATGTCCAATTTATTATGCAAAAATTGCAAAAAATATGTCACAATATAAGTGAATTAATTAATTCATTGCCAGAAATCGCGGGCACGATTATTCTACTTTCTTACTAATTTGCATATCGTCGATGCATACCCGTTGAAATATGGCTTCTGCAGTAAACAGTCAATTATATTACGTGATGCTGTGTAAATCGCAAATACGGTAGGCTGGTTGCAGAACATAGTTTGTAGAAATATTTAGTGTAATGTTTGCCTGGTGTAAGTTACTGCCTATTCTCCATTTTCGTTTGTTCCTAGACCTAGTGGCAGTAGTGTGGTATTCTTATATAGAGTTACATAGACGAATGTCGTAAAAACTACAGTAACCCATGCATGCACGTACAAATATTGAAAATGCAGAATAGGCAGTAACTGAAATCAAGCCCACCAAATACTTCCACAGACTTTGTTTTGCAGCCAGCGATTGAGGCAAGTTGCATATATGACCTACATTATTCTCAGATCAGTTTGCGATTTTAACAACGTCGCGTTATATAATTCACTCTTTACTGTTGAAGCCATATTTCAACGTGATATGCAAATTACGAAGGATGCAGAATAAACCACGGCAACTATACCACAGAATACTAACCATGTTCTTAGCAAATGCCTAAAGAGAGGCATTTACCCCCCTGAAACATTAAATTTTATTATTATTTAAAAAATTCCTTGTTTCTGATTGGCTAACAGCCTACTGTGAAATTGTCATATCAACTCATGGCTAACCAAATACGAATTTTTCACATTCATATTAGCAAAATGACGTCAAAGAGTCAATATGAAAAAAATTTGGACGCGTTTGCGCCATATTACTATGACGACGAGAATCGTATTGACTCGCTGACGCCATTGATATGACGCAACGATGGCTGCCGAAGGACTAAGGAATTGTTTTTTCTTAATACAAATAAAATACAAATGTTTGTTTTTAATTATCAAGCCCTCAGTTTGCCGTTATCAACCTCAGCCTTCGGCTTCGGTTGATAACGGCAAACTTCGGGCTAGATAATTCTTCATATCGTGCTCAACCTCATTCAATAATGGTTAAATATGTTTTCAGGGGGTGCATGACGGCCTCACTTTAGGGCACTTGCTAAGAACATGGCGGACTGAAAAAATCCCTTGCGCTAAATTAACCTGAAGTGAGACCTCTGTGAGTTTTTGGCCACTGAGAAAAATCGTATTTAAACACACGTAAAAAAACGATATTTTTACGTGAAAATATATCATTTGTTGTAAAACGCATTGCCACGGACATTTATTTCTCGTGTTGAACATGATATCTCACTCGTTCGCTGCGCTCACTCGTGAGATATCATGTTCAACACTCGAAATAAATCTGGTATTTCCGCGTTCCCATGTATTATTCTCTATTTAATGCATGTATGTTGAAATATGCGCATCGCACGCGATTGTTATGTATATTAATGAGTGAAATTTTAAAAGATTTGTGCATGATAAAGCCAACTTCACTTAAAACCATAGCGTGCACAACTAGGATTTAGTCTTTTAGTGGGACAGGTGCAGACTGCAGAGTATACTATAAAACTCCGATCAAACACTAGGACCAGGGACGCCGGAACTGGGGGGGGCAAGGGGGGGGGGGCGGCTGCCCCCCTTGCCTTTTGCTAGGGGGGGGGCAGGGGGGGCAGCAGTGCCCTTTTAGTTGTAAAATAATACGTGATAAATCACATTTCCAACGATGCTTTTTGTAGTAAAATCACGAGATTCAGGTAATTTATAGTTTATATTTATAAAAATTTTGGGAAATTTTTGGAATTTAGAAAAATATTTTGCCCTATTATCGTTCCGGCGTTCCTGACTAGGACTTAAGAATTGGCAGTTTCGCATAGTTACGGGGGACATTTGAAGCTCTAAGTTAACAAAATAAAGGTTTTTTGAGTGTTCCAGCTACGTTTTAACTTAAATAGGATAGATGATAGTGTTGGGAAAGCATTCGGAACTGTGGTTTCAGATATTACAGTCGTGCCAATAGAAGCGTTCCGAAAAATGTTGACCATTTCCTAACTTCGAGGAGTTCCTCTCTGAACAATTCCTTAAAAAGTCCTAACTTCCTGTTTCATTGACCAATCAGATTGCTCAAAAATAAAATTTAAAATTTGATTGGTCAATGAAACAGGAAGTTAGGAACTTTTTAAAGAAATTTTGAAAATTTTAAGAAATTGTTCAGAGGTGTTCCTTCAAGTTAGGAAATGAACTGGTCAACATTTTTCGGAACGCTTCTATTGGCACGACTGTAAAGATGTTTATATATGGAAATTATGACTTTAGTTCTTCAAAAAAGAGCAACAAATAATATTATGTCATGAACAGTTCATTATAATATAAGTGTGATATAACAGACGATTTGATTGGCTAATACGCGTGCATTGTGACGCAATAATGCACTGTGATCTGTGGCATTGCTTTGCTCTTTTTCTGTTTTTTCCCCTCTTCATCACTGCTTTTTAGCCAAAATTATACACAAAATTATAGAGCTTTTAAAATACAAAATTTACCAGAAAGCAAGAAGGAATAAACCAAAGGAAAAAGCGATTTTCTATAGTTCTACTTATAAAATTAACCGGCTTGGCATTCGTCGAATTTGTTGTTGTCTCGACAAGTTTTGAGTAAAAAGCGTACAAAATAGTCGAGAAAAAAACTTGAAAAAGATACAGCTGGAAGACCAAATACATACAAAAAGGCAACAAAAACTGAATACAAGTGATTAGGAAGTACCTTCAATTCTTCTGGTAATAACTGCTAGATAAATTTTCGGCGAAAGACAAAAAATACAATAATTTCGAAAATTAAAACTGAGTAATAAACACGACGAAACCTACGATTCGTATACGGTCTTTCATGGCAAATTCAGCAGCCCAGATGCTGAAAAACTTTGGCAAATTAGTCTGTGTGTCACTGCTTTTTTATTTCCACTATTTTAAACAATTTTTCCGGCTTTATAGCATCGATCAAAAGTTTGTATATTGTTTTGGCAATTTTTCTCCTTCGCTCACTTAAAAATTCAAGCGACAGTAAAAACATGCGCGTGACGTCACTGAGTACATGTTAGGAGAATTTCAACATCGATCTTTTGAGTAAAATTGTTTACTATGTAATATCCCCTTCTTATATTATAAAAGAAATAGAAAAACTCGTCTCGTGCGTTTATGGTGTGATAATGCACTTGGGGAATGTTGGGAGAATACTCGAGAAGCGTGTAAAACACTCGGCTAGGCCTCGTGTTTTACACGCTTCTCTCGTATTCTCCCAACATTCCCCGCGTGCATTATCACACCATAAACGCACGCGACTCGTTTTCTATTTCTTAAATATCTTACTTCTCGAAAGCGTAAATTTGCCGATACCAAAGTATAGACACGGAATATAATGTTTTCATTGTCTTTCAAAGAATCGATTAATGAGGTCCAAATTTCCCTCAGTTTAAGGAAATTTCCTTAAAAGTGAGAACGCAGATCCACAGCTGTCTTTGTGTGTTGATCGCCTATCTCAATTTCCGCGTTTCTGATTGGTCCATTCTTTTTCCTCCCCATCTCTCTTTTTGTGGCCCATCCCTAATTTTCAATCTCTTGTGTATGATATTGAACAGGGAGTGTTGACCGTCTGTATCGTTTTCTATCATTTCTCAAGGTATGTGGAAGAAAATGCTTTATTGTACTGAACATGCAGTCTGTGCCAGTGTAGGTAGTGCTGATAATAACAAAACTTTCGTTGGTAGGAATGCAATTACCTGAAATATACAAGGAGAAATTCGACGTTTCGAGCGAAGACCTTCGCGTCGGGAAGTTGCCTTCGACTTCGCTCGGTACGTCGAATTTGTCCTTGTATTTTCAGGTAATTGCATCCCTACCAACGAGAGTGTTGTTTTTATTGTGCCAAGTGTTTCCTAAAGATTTTTATTGACATTCAGTAAAGTTCTTTTTGAAAAACGTGAGTATTTTGTTTTGAACAGGTAAATTATTGCATCGTTGGACGCGAAAACACAACAACGACTTCAGGTATTATCACCGTGGCATATTATTTACAAGTTAAATACATTGGTTTTTAAACAGAAACCGTTGCTGTTTCATTTAATCGACTTTTTAAGCTATATCCAATTTAAAATAGGCATATCGGGATTTGCATTGGTGATTTAATGTTTTATAGAATTTGAAGGAGTACTATCGTAGAATATTAAGCGCTGTAGTGTGAGAGATACAACTATACCTGAAAAATATAAGTCTTATTTTTTTACCTTTATAATGATTTTGATTCACGGCCATACTAAAGAATATATTCGAAAGTAATTTCAAGCTATTAACTTTTTCCACATCGCGAAACCGCAATAAATACGCATGGCTCTGCAAGCGTTGTATCAATTTCTATGACGCGCCGTTTCGGCTAAAAGTATTCCAGAATCAGAATTCATGTCGAGACTCGAGAATCGTATTTGATAACTTACGAGCGTTCGAGATTTTACAAGTATTCGAGATTTTGCAGCTATTCCGAGATTTTACATGTATTTGAGATTTTACAGCTATTCGAGATTTTACAGTTATTCGAGATTTTACCACATCAAAGTTTATATTCGGCCATTTTCAAAAGGGGGAACGGGGAATCTTTAAAAAGGGGAATCTTTAGCTTTGCGTGCATGGTGTTAGATTTTCGACTTCAGAATCTTTTGCGTACATTAATTTACGATATATTATATTTTGTGTAATTGTTTTCATAAAAACGCACACTGCTATGAGTATAGTAGTTAACATGTATAGCCGGCAGGTAGCTAGCCTAGAAGTGATTATTAAAACGTTGTTCGCTGTACGCCAGTGTGGAGAGTTTGTATCGCGCAACCGATATATCGGACGCGCAATTTTGATGCTTTTAATTCTACAGTATATATTTCACTATTAAATTTTTCACTATTAAGAATTCTCGGTTGAGCAATTTGCAAACGTTCCAGTCAGGGATGTATACGTAATAAATATAATTGTTTTCGTATATCTTCACTGAAGATGGCTTCCCTGCAGCGAGCCCTGCAGCTCATTTATTTTATTATAATTGCGTTTTTCTGAACACATTTGCAACTAATAACTATATCATACAATTGAATATTGTTGAAAAGCTAAATATTTAAAGTGAAAAAAACTTCTAAATGCCGAGTTTGAGACGGATACGGGCATACGGCGTTCTTCATGGTCTTTCAAAAAAATCGATTAAAGAGGTCCAAATTTCCTTCAATTCAGGGAGATTTCATTAAAAGTGAGAACGCAGATCTGCAGTTGTCTTTGTGTGTTGATCTATATATACATGTATCTATGGTGTTGATCTCTTATCTCAATTTCCGCTTTCTGTTTGGTCCATTCTTCTCCTTTCTCCCATGAGCCTTTTTGTTTTCAGACTCTCATCTTTCTGGGCCCATCCCTAACTTTGAATCTTTTATGGTATTGAGCAGAGAGTGTTGCATATTTCTTTATTCGTTCCAATCATTTCTCAAGGTATGTGGAAGAAAATGCTTTATTGTACTGAACAGTCTGTGCCAGTGTAGGTAGTGCCGATAATAACAAAACTTTCGTTGCTAAGGATGCAACTACCTGAAAAATACAAGGAGAAATTCCACATTTCCAGCGAAGGCTCTTCGCGTCGGGAAGTTGCCTTCGGTTTCGCTCGAAACGTCGAATTTCTTGTATTTTTCAGGTAGTTGCATCCCCTACCAACGAAAGTTTTGTTTTTATTGTACTGGCCAAGTGTTTCCTAAAATTTTCTATTGACACAGGCCATATTAAAGAGTAACACAAACACAACAAGAACTGCATGTATTATCACCGCGGTATTATGTTAGAGTTAAACACATTGTTTCTAAACAGAAACTGTTTCTATTTCATTTAATCAACTTTTTAAGCTATATTCGATAAAAATGGGCATATATCAGGGTTTGCATTGCCATTGGTGATTTAATGTTTTAGAATTTGAAGGAGTATTATCGTATAGAATATTAAGCGCTGTAGTGAGAGAGATACAACTACCTGAAAAATATAAGTCTTATTTTTTTACCTTTATAATGATTTTGATTCAGGGACATTCTAAAGAATATATTCGAAAGTAATTTCAAGCTATTAACTTATTTCCACATCGCGAAATCGCGATAAATACGACGGCTCTGTTGTATCAATTTCACCCTTTCCATGAATACAACAACTTTAGCATCGGCAAATTTATTTACGCTTTAGAGGAGTAACATATTGAACTGTTAATGACATAATATCATTTGTTGTGCTTTTTTGAGAAAGTAACGATATGAACATCTTTAATCAGATCTGAAACACACGACGCCATGCAACAAGATCGCTAAGAATGGTATAGGTATATCACGCGGCTCAAGTCGCCGAAACTCGAAAGGCCAAAACATGATTGTCAAATACGTCTATCATCGTATACATTGCTTCTAAAATTTCTTTCTAGTTTCGCTTTCCACGATTGTTTTAAATGATGACTCTTCTAGACTGATATTCATACTATCATATTCTATAACATTTGGAATTTTAGGATAAATACCCAGCACGAGCAACTCATGAGAACACTATATAGCATTCGTTACCAACAAGAAAAATCATCTTTTAAGCTTCGATTTTTCGAACGAAGGCCCCTGATCAGTAAGTTAGTAGACGAAGGGCCTTCTCTCGAAACATCGAAGCTTCAAAGTTGATTTTTCATGTTGGTAACGAATGCTAGTGTTTTCATGAGTTGCTCATGTTGGTAGGCTTATGTATCCTAAAGTTTCAAATGTTATAGAATATATCAGTCTAAAAGGTCGTGTCATCTTTAAAACAATCATGGAAAGGCGAAACTAGCAAGAAATTTTCGAAACAATGTAGACGATGCTAGACGTATTTGACCATGTTTTGGCCTTTCGAGTTTTGGCGACTTGAGGCGCATGATATACCATTCTTAGCGATCTTGCATGTTGGCGTCGTGTGTTTCAGATATTAAATATGTTTATATCGTTAGTTTCTCAAAAAAGCGCCACAAATGATATTATGTCATTAACAGTTCAATATCTTACTCCTTCAAAGCGTAAATTTGCCGATGCCAAAGTTGTTCTATTCATGGAAGGGTGAAATTAATACAGGGTCTTGTACTACTTGTAGATGGAAATTATCGAGTGGAAATTTATATGCATTTATTAGACCTAACCAGGAACAGTTGGGAAAAATGCAGCTACATGTAACTACATGTCCCTGGCATGAGGAACAGAGCCGCGTGCGTGAAATTAGACGGCTCAACTTTGCGCGAATTATTCAGTCGGGGTTTCGCGATGTGGAAATAAGTGAAATTACTTTCGAATCATTCGTTAGAACGGTCATGATCATGAATCAAAATCATTATAAAGGTAAAAAAATAAGGCTTATATTTTCAGGTAGCTGTATCCCTCTCACTACAGCGCTTAATATTCAACGATAGTACTCCTTCATATGCCTATTTTAAATTGGATATAGCTTAAAAAGTCGATTAAATGAAACAAAAACGGTTTCTATAGAATGTATCAGTCTATAGAAGAGGCATCTTTAAAACAATCGTGGAAAGGCGAAACTAGCAAGAAATTTTCGAAGCGATTTACACGAAGCTATACATACTTGACATGTTTTGACCTTTTGGAGTTTCACCTGATTTTAGCGACCTTGTTTGCGCGTCGTGTGTTTCAGATAATAAAGATGTTTATATCGTTAGTTCTTCAAAAAGCGCAACAAACGATATTTTCTCATTAACAGTTCAATATCCTACTCCTCCAAAGCGTAAATTTGCCGATAGTAAAGTGGATATATTCATGAAAGGGTGAAATTAATACAACAACAGCAGCAACAACAACAACAACAACCAACAACAACAAAGATTTATTTGTACCCCAAAAAATAAAATATTTACATTTTTTTAATTATATGAGAAAAAAATATTTGAGAAGAGCACCTGCTACCTGTAATAACCATAATGGCTAATAAGATCAGGCAGCAGAAACAAGTCAGACTGGGTTTACGAATTTATAAATTACTTAAGAAGAAGAAAAAAGAAAAAAAAACTAGAAAAAGAAACAATCCACTCAATGTTTAAAAGCAATCTTAGGAAGAGAGGCAAACAATGTGTCATTCTGAGATGATGTATAGCCGCACGTGAAATTAGATAGCTCAACTTTGCGCGAGTTATTTATCGCGGTTTCGCGATGTGGAAATAATTAAAAGCTTGAAATTACTTTCGAATATATTCTTTAGAATGGTCATAAATCAAGTTTTAAAGTTTTTCATTATAAAAGTTTTAAAAATAAGGCTTTGAACGAGCTTTGCGATCGATACGAAAGCTGACCAGCCCCTTTGTCAGAAAAAACAGTGATCTTTCACAAGCCACCATGGACTAACGGAACGGAATATAATGTTTTCATTTTCTCTCTCGTACTAAGGAATATGACAAGGAAAAATGGTCTTTCAAAAAAATTGGATTTCCGTCGGTGCTTAAGCGGCCAAAGCAGTTTGTTTACAAACTAGTCGTTCCAGCTCCAGATTGAAATCGTATCTGGAGACTTTTGTGGGGCCGTCTCGCTTCGTAATTGTTGTGTATTGGACTTTTAAGCGCAACGCAAGTTGCCTCGTTTCTGTTAAATTCATATTCTGTGGTTTTTAGTGTTTATTTTCTGTTGTAGTTCTTGATAAAACTCCACTCTAACAGTATACAGTGATGACTGAAAACTGCCAAAAAGCAAATTTCGGGTCCGATCAAACTATTCCTTCAAGGAATTTAATTTTACAAGCAAATTTACAAAGTGAACCTATTAGAGAAATACAAGAATGGGTACAGGAGCAAGAAATTGCCCCAGGATCAGAGAGCATTAGATCAGATGTTACACAAAAGATGTTGTTATTTTGGAGAAGTATCCCGAAAGGTTCCACTTGTGTAACGTTCAAGAAAAGTTCAGAGCATTATCTACATGCAGATGGTTTCCCGTGCCACAAAGTGCCCCACTACTATCAATGATGACGATTTGATGTTAAGACTTTATACACTTTAGCTGACAGTTAACAGTGATTTATTTTATTATGTTTATGATTATTTATGTAGGACATGCAATGGTTTTTGGCTGTGATGTAATCAGAATTAATGAGTGGGTTGTATATAACATGAATGGTATTATAATGCCTTGGTCGGCCAAGGATGGTTGCATAAAAAAAAATTAAAATTATCATTTTCCTTGATAATCATTTTCTTCGACGCCTTGTTTTAATGTTTAATGCTAACATGGCAGGCACAGATGCTGGGACGTATAGGGGGAGGGGAGGTTAAGTTTACCCACTTTTCAGTGAACCAGTCGGTAAATTAGTCAATTGATACAACTCTCGGTAAACTGTAATCTATGGTTGGTACCAATTTTTGGAAAAGAAATAGTTTGTCATATCTAGTCTGGTAATTGATTGCAACGAGTACAGAGAACCAGGAATATTCTATGACGTTTGATCTATTGTGCAGAATTAATTTTGAATTATTTCTGAAATTGTACAGCGCCATTAACAGCCCGCGTAAATTTAGAAGTGCTGAATCTTTGGGAGAGCATTCACCAAAACTCTCCGTAGCAGATTTTGGTCCGTATATATTGTGTATTTCAGAGTAGCTTTTAAATGTACACACGACTTCGTAATCTAAAACACCAACTTTCACAGTTTTAAGTAAGGTAATGGCAAATTTAAGGATCAGTAAATTTGCACCATTACATAACCAAACGAAATGTGTATATTATGCATTGTGTGACTCTGCTATTCTTAAAGTATATGATAAGCCACAATCTCGAACGGTTTGTGCCAGTGCAAGTAACACCGATAACAGACAGCTGTGGTGTGAGAAAAATACATGAGAGAAATATATATGAACAGAACCTCGACGTTGCGAGCGAAGGGCCTTCGGGAAGTTAGTAACCTTCGCTCGAAACGTCGAAGTTCTGTTGAATATTTTTAGGTAGTTGTGTCTTTCTCTCACACTGCAGCTGTCTATGTTAAGCCACGCCTATACTTGTTCAGGGCCAAGCCCATTTAGTCAGTAAAATCGAGATGCCTCACACACACCCCCCCCCCCCCTCAAAAGGTCCAAGCTACGGCACTGCATATATGTTTCCGACATGGGCGTACCGGAAGGAAAAAATTAGGGGGGCGGAAAGAAATTTTCCCGACTTTTTTGGATTGTGCCCGACCAGTGCCGAAAATTTTTTTTCCGGAACAAATTTTTTTGGCGACCCCCCCGTCGCCAAAAAAATTTCGGTCAGTGTACCATTTTAGGGGTCCAAAAAATTTTCGGGCATACCAAAATTTTTCGAAACATCAAACAAATTTTCCATACATCACCAAATTGACCACAAAATTGACAGAATTTCCCTCAAAATTGACAGAATTTGTCCGATTTATTTTTATAATAAGCCAATATTGCCCGACTGTGAAGCGAATATTGCCCGACTGGCTTTGTTTGCCCAACAAACTGGGGGGCTGCCGCCCCCGCCCCCCCGCCCGGTACGCCCATGGTTTCCGAGATTCCATGTTACATTCCATATCATAAGTCATAATGACAGGGCACATACTGTATCCGCTAAATCTCTGAAAAGACTTGTACCCTACAGTTTCGGTTGAAGCTTGGACTTGTATCACTTTCAAGTGACTAGTGTTTCTTGCCAGATTTGGGAATCTGGAAAATATTCCAATATTTCTTGCCTATATAGTAATTGCCTTAGAATAGCCAGCAGTCTCACTTTGCATTCCTCTTCTCGGTCACGGATTAGGATGCATTACTCCTTAAAGGGTTTAACCCATTTACTTGCATTGCACCCTGTTATAGGCAATTGATAAAACTAGAATAGTGAAGCGAATAGTGCGAATAGTCGACGAATAGTACGAATAGTCCGCGAATAGTCGACGAATTGTACGAATAGTCCGCGAATAGTCGACGTATAGTACGAATAATCCGCGAATAGTCGACGAATAGTACGAATAGTCCGCGAATAGGCGACGAATAGTACGAATAGTCCGCGAATAGTGCAATAGAGACTTTGCAAGGCTTTGCAGCAGTGCTGTAGAACTAAATTTACCGGGGGGGGGG